GTGCAGCTCAGTAGTATGAGAGGCTCTGGGTTGGATCCCCAGCACCAAATAAGGGGCTGAAAACCCACAGGGGCGCACAGAATTTGTATGCGGTTTCAGGGGTTCACACGCCCAAGGCTGGGGCTCAGTCTCAGAATCCCAGGCAATAATTGTTGGCCATCCTCATTTTTTAGCCACGTGAACTGTGAGGCTCAGAATGGGGGGGGGGGGACAGAGGGACTCAAAGTAACAGCGCTGCAGGAGCTCTGAGGTCTGGCCCAGGCTCCCGCCAATCTTGGTGTGTGTAGGGTGGAGGGGTGGGGGGGCAGAGGGAGGCACCGAGGCGCAATGCCCACCTGGGAGCACGTAGAGAAGGGCGGGGCGAGCCAGGGGGCGTGGCCTGGCTCGCCCCCGCCCCCTCCGCCGAGATCGGGGGCGGGGCCTCCCTCCAACCTGCGCCGCTCCAACATGGCTCCGCGGTTGTGCAGCATCTCCGTGAGCGCGCGGCGGCTGCTGCGGAGCCCTGGGCCCCGCACCGGGGACGGCGCGGCTGCAGCTGCGGCGCGGTGAGAGTCAGTCGGGTTGGGGTGGCCACGCGCGCTGGCGCAGGGATCGGGGCGGGGGGAGGGGTCCGGGGCCAGGGCGGGGGGGGGGGAGGAGGGGGGCGGGGAGGAGCGGAGACTCCTTGGCTTGCCATCTTAGGGGTAGAGGCGGAGTCAGGAGCCAGGCCTGGGAAAGAATGGGGGAGAGTTGGAAAGGCAGGGGTAGGGGCTTTTGTTGTTTTGAGATACCGTTTCGCAGTGTAGCCCTAGCTGGTCTTGAACTTGCAGTTGTGCTTCACCCTCTCAAGCGTTGGGGTTGCAGGCGTGAACCACCATGCAATGCTAGGCAGGGCTTTTATCCTATTGGGTATCTGGGTCTGGGTTGAGAAAGATGGGGTGAGTTGGAGGGCCAGGTGTTGGTTCCTGGAGAGTGGGAGGTGGCAGGGATACGATTAGCCAGCAACCCTTTCCTTGGGCCTTTCCCTAGCACTGTGATTATTTAGCACACACTGGAGAGGGGGGTGGGGGAGGGGGGGAGACGACCTCTAGACCTGGCAGCTCCTACATGGAGAAGTTCTAGGGGGGAGAGAGATGGTGGCCAGAGGGTACAGTGAAGGACCCCCAAAGGTCTGTACATTCTCAGCTTCCCCATCCTGAATGGTACAGGTGGGTTAACAGAGACCTCAGGGGATGGGAATCGCCCAAGGTCACTGTCCCTGCTGTGGCCTGGCTGTGCTGATTCTGGGCAGTGTCTCTAGATGCACCATGCACTTTGTACCACAACTTGGAGCCTCCTGAGAGGAGACTCCTAGGCCATGTGCTCAGCCCTGCCTGTTGTTTGACCCTGCTCTGGTGCTCAGGCAGGGCTTGGCTTCTCCTGACTGGCCCTGGACGGCTCCTCCCTCCTCCTCCATGCCTATCACCCTGTGTGCCAACCTGTCTCTCTTACTAGGTCATTTGCTTATTTTTCTATATTCCCATTACCTGTCCCTCCCACAGTGCCCATAACAGGCCTCCCACTTGGGAGGAAGCAGGGTTCTTCCTACGGAATTGCCCCAGAGCCAAGCTGAAGAGCTCTGTTAGACCTAGCATGAGTTGTTAGAGCAGTGGGAGCTGTGGCTATGTTGGGGGAAGGCAGCCAGCCCAGCCATGTGCCCCTTACCTGGACTACCAAATAATGAAGGAGAAAGCATCATGAAATGAGCTCAGAGTTTGCCTGGCACTAGTAAATCTAACTCAGCTTTTTTTTTTTTTTTTGGTGAGGTGACCTTGGGTATGTCATTGGACTTCTTCAAGTCTCAGATTCCTCATCAGTGTGTAAAAAAGGAAATAATACATATCTCATAGGCTTGTTTGTGCTTTTTTTAAGTGTGTGTGTGTGATTCTGGGGACTGAAACCAGGGTTTCACACCTGCCACTGAACTAGACCCCCAGTCCTCCTGGGATTGTTGAGGATTAAAGAGTTCTATGGTTAGTCATTTGCTGGTGGCTCACACCTGTAATCTCAAATTCTAAGGAAGCTCAGATCTAAGGATCAAACTTTGAAGCTAGTCAGAAAAAAGCCCAACACTTTATTTCCAATTAATCAGCACAAAATTTGGACTGGAGTCATGGTTCAAGTGGCAGAGCGTCAGCCATGCGTGAAAAAGCAGAGTGAGAGCACAAACCCCTGAGTTCAAACACTGGTACTGGCACCCATACACACATGAACAGTCTGCGCTGGTTCATGCCTGTAATCCCAGCTGTCCAGGAGGTAGATAGCAGGAGGATCAAAGTTCAAATACAGCCCTAGCAAAAATTTGGCAAGATCCCATTTCAACCAATAGCTGAGTGTGGTGGTACCTGCTTGTCACTCTTGCCCAGGTTGGCTTCAAACCATGTTTCTCAGATCTCTACTGCCTGAGTAGCTGCAATTACAGAAGTACATCACCATACTTGTCCTTTAACTTGTGTGTGTGTATGTGTGTATGCGTGCGCGTGCGTGTGCCAGTCGTGGAGCTTGAACTCAGGGCCTGGGTGCTGAGTTTGGCTCAAGGCTGGTGCTCTACCACTTGAACCACAGTGCCATTTCTGGCCTTTTCTGACTAGTTCATTGGAGAGAAGAGTCTCAGGGGCTTTCCTGCCCAGGTTGGCTTTGAACCTCAGTCTTCAGATCTCAGACGTCTAAGTAGCTAGGATTATAGGTGTGAGCCACCAGCACCCAGCTAACTTATTTTTTGGCAATTCTGGGTTTGAACTCAGAGTCTTGTGCTTGCTAGGTAGGCACTCTATCAATTGATCCATGTCCCCAACCTTGGCCTTTCATTTTTATTTTTTTTGGGGGAGGGCAGTATTAGGGATGGCATCCAGGGTCTGTTGCATGCTAGACAAATGATCTACCACTAAGGTACAGACCCCCCCCAAAAAAAATTTTTTTTGAACTTGTGCAAATGTGTGCTTGAGGATGGTGGCTTGGAGTTCAGATCTACTCCAGCATCTTGCTTAGTCTCTGGGGGATTTTACCTGCAGAAATTTCCTTCTTGGGGTGGGGGAGTTGGGGGGAGGGAAAATAGGAGAAAAAGGAGGGAGAGGGTAACAGTGTTGGACAAGAAATGTCTTTATTATGTATGTAACTATAACCCCTCTGTACATCACCTTGACAATAAAATTAAAAAAAGAAAAAAATCTCCTTCAGATTAGGCTGCTCCGCCTCATTCACTTAATAGATGGGAAAGCTGAAGCTCATAGGCAGGGAGCTTCTTTGCCTCTCCAGTGTCCTAGCCCCCCAGGCTCTCTTCCCCAGGGCTGGCCTCTGGCTATTTATTCTGGTCACTACCTATGTTAATAGATTACTAGAATCCTAGCTGGGGAGCAAAGGTCTTGGTCCACAAATTGTGGAGCCTCCTCTCTAGGGGTGAGGCAACCCCTCTATAGTCAGACCAAAAGTCCCACCCCAGGTGGGGGCTAGCCCTGCTTCCTGACTTACTGTATGACCTTGGGAAGTTCCTTCAACTTTCCAAGCATAAACTATTTTATCTTCCCAAAAGTGGGAACAGGAAGAGTCACAGCATTATAAAGATCGTGGCATTGATCCTGTGAGAAATTGAGTCAGCATAGATCCCTGATTCAGACCCACTACACTACCCAGCTCATTCTAAGTTTTGTTTTGTTTTTTAATTTGGTAAAGCTAAAATATATTGGCTTAAGCCAGGACCTGGTAGCTCATACCTGTAATCCTTGCTACTCAGGAGGCTGAGATCTGAGGATCGCAGTTCCAAGCAAGCCTGGGTAGAAAAGTTCTGAGACTCTTACCTCCAGTTAACCACCAGAAAACCGGAAGTGGTGCTGTGGCTCAAAGTGGTAGAGCACTAGTCTTGAGTAAAAGGAGCTCAGGAACAGTGCCCAGGCCTAGAGTTCAAGCCCTAGGACCAGCCAAAAAAAAAAGACTAGACTGGAGTTGTGGCTCAAATGCTAGAGGACTAGCTGAAGCAAGCAAGCTGAGCAAGCAGGTAGCTGTACTTCCACCCTGGGTATCAGTAAACAAACAAACAAACAAACAAAAACGCAGCATATAAAGAATGAAGAAATTGGGCTGGGATTGTGGCTTAGTGGTAGGGTGCTTGCCTAGCATGCATGAAGCCCTGGGTTCGATTACTCAGTACCACTTAAAAAAAAAAAAAAAGCTGGAACTAGCACTGTGGCTCAAGTGGTAGAGTGCTAGCCTTGAGCAAAAGAAGCTCAGAGATAGTGCCGAGGCCCTGAGTTCAAGTCCCCGGACTGACAAAAAAAAGAAAAATGTAACCACCTACCTCCCCTCTGTCTTAGCTAAACAGAATAGTAGCTTCCTTTAACCCTGGTTTCATTTTCTTTTTTTTTTTTTGTCAGTCATGGGGCTTGAACTCTGGGCCTGGGAGCTGTTCTTCAGCTCTTCAGTTCAAGGCTAGCACTCTACCACTTGAGCCATAGTGCCACTTGCGACTTTTTCTGTTTATGTGATGCTGAAGAATTGAACACAGGACCTTATGCATGCAAGGCAAGCACTCTACCACTTAGCCACCTTCCAACCTCTGTTTCATTTTCTATGACCTGAGTTCCCAGAGTTCAAATCCAGCCCTAGCTGGGGGTGAGCGTGGGGAATATAAACTGGGAATGTCCAAAAAATGAACCAGACCACATGGAATATGAACTGGAAAATCCTAGAAAATAAACAAGACCATATTCACATATATTTTCTACATATTACAGTTCTAGTTTATTATGATAGTGCCTAACATAAATTAAACTTTATGATAAGTATATACATATAGAACACATCTACAGTTGGACACTATCCTCAGTTTCTAATATCCACAGGGACTTAGAGCATATCCCTCATCCATAAGGACAGACTTCTATTAACATTTCAGAACAAATCACTTTTCATCTTCCTCTGTGACCAAACAAATCTATCACCATTATAAGATGATTGCTTTGTCATTTTGGTAATGGGGATTGAACCAGCACATTCTGTATCATTGAGGCTCACATACCACCCCCCCATCAGATAATTCTTTCCCTCCCTCTCTCCCTCCCTCTCTCCCTCCCTCCCTCCCTCCCTCCCTCCCTCCCTCCCTCTCTCCCTCCCTCCTTCCCTTCCTTCCTTCTTTCTTTCTTTCCTTCCTTCCTTCCCTCCCTCTCTCCCCCTCTTTTTCTCTTTCTCTCTTTCTTTGTGTATATGCCAGTCCTGGGGCTTTAACTCAGGGCCTGGGTACTGACCCTGAATTTTAGCGCTCTGTCTCTGAGCCACAGCTTTACTTCCAGCTTTTGGTGGTTAATTAGAGATAAGGGTCTCACAGACTTTCCTACCTGGGCTGGCTTCAAACCTCCATCCTCAGGTCTCTGTCTCCCAAGTAGCTAGGATTACAGGTGTGAACGACCACCATCAGACAGTCTCAGTTTAAAAGAAAGTAATATCTTTAATTGTCAGACATTTGTTCTATCCTCATAAAAGACTTGCAAGAAGAGAAGGCTTGCGCACACTGCCAGGAATTCTCTCTCAGCAGACTTACTTTTCAGACCTCTCCAAAAGCTTCATTGAAGGCTGTAGGGTAAAAAGATAGCCTAAAAGAAGCTGTGTACTGGGGCCTTAGATGTGGGGTGGAGGGGCCAGGACCCAATGCCAGCTTTCCCCGTTCATGGCACCACTATAGAGGAATCCTTTGTTCTCACAGCACCGTGTCCAGGTGGGCAGGACAAATGAGTGAATAAATGAATGCATGCATCATGCTTTGTGATACCTTTTACCCCTCTCAGCCCCAGTTCCCCTCCTCTCTGTCCCAGAGGCCTGAGGCAGAGTTGGGCCTCTGTTGACTGTGTCCAGTCATTCTTGCCAAGGGCTGGAACCTCCTCCGGACAAGGCTTGTCTTTGGCTGTTTGTGGGGTGTGGGAGGTGGGGCGCAGGCCAGGTGCAGGATGGGCTCTGGGGAGGACTAAGTGTAGCTTTCTTGAAGCACAATACAAAAGAGCCTGCTGTGAGGCAGCAGGTCCACCTCAAGTGGTATAGTACCTTGTTAGCAAGCACATGGCCCTGAGTTCCATCTCTAGTACTGTGAAATAAAGCAAACAAGGAAACCTTAAAAGGTGCACAGAGGTCAGTTACAGTGGCTGGTATCTCAACTCCTCAGGGCATGGAGGCAGAAACTAGGAGGACCCCCATCTGAGGCTGGACTGGGCAAAAACATAAGACTATCAGAAAAAGAAAATAACTAGAGCAAAAATGGTTCGAGGCAGCTGGGAGCTGGTGGCCCATGCCTGTATTCCTAGATCCTCAGAGATCTGAGGATCGCTGTTTGAAGCCAGCTGGGCAGGAAAGTCTATGAGACTCCAATCCCAAAGATCAGAAGTAGTGCTGTGACGCCAAGGGGTAAAATGCTAGTCTTGAGCATAACGTTTAGGGAGAGTACTGAAGACCTGAGTTGAAGCCCCAGGACTGACCAAAAAAAAAAAGAAAGAAAATCCAGAAGTGGCGCTATAGCTCAAGTGGTAGAGTGTTATTCTTGAGCAAAATAATCTCAGAGACAGCACCCAGGCCCTGAGTTCAAGCCCCAAGACTGGCAAAAATGGCTAGAAGCATGGTTCAACTGATAAAACACCTGCCTAGCAAGGGTGAGGCCCTGAGTTCAGACCCCAAAACCATGTTTGTGAGTACACACACACACACACACACACACACACACACACACACACACAGCTTGGTGTGTTGAGGTTAGCGCACACCTGGGGAATGGGGTACCCTGGGAAGGCAGGGAGTGTCAGGAGCAGAGACTGGTGAGATTGGTTGGATTGGTCAGGCGGGTTTGGGGGTTGATCCATTTGACAGGAGGCTACCATCGTGGGAAGCAGATAATGTGGAGGCACCGAGGCTGGAATGAAGTGGTGAGAGGTGAGGCTCCCTCTTCTGGCTTCCTAGTCCCTGCAGAGCTTCAAGCCACAGACTGGGCAGCTGGGATCTCTGTAGAAGGGACTCCATTGGCTCTATTGCCAGAATGTGGGTCACCAGCCTGGGATGCAGGATAGCTGGGCAGACGGAACTGTGTGTGTTCCCGTGGCCTCCCCCCTCCCCCATGAGTCCCCCAACCTCTTCTGTGTCCTCCAGTTTCTACTCCAAGGACAATGAAAGCAGCTGGTTCCGCTCCCTCTTCGTCCACAAGGTGGACCCCCGGAAGGACGCCCACTCTACCCTGCTGTCCAAGAAGGAGACCAGCAACCTCTACAAGATCCAGTGTGAGTGGCTGCCATCCCAGGACTCTCAGGGCAGCGTGGAGACGATGTCCCGTGCCTGCCACCCTGACCCCACCCACCGCGCATGCCCGTGCCCGCTCTGCTTCACCCACCCCCCCCTGACTGTCCTCTGTTGCAGTTCACAATGTGAAGCCTGAGTGTCTGGATGCCTACAACAGCCTCACGTGAGCATCCTCCTCCCTCAGCCTCCCATCCTGCCCGTACCCACCCATCCTCAGAACATTTCTCCCCACCTCTTTCTCCTCCTTGCGGGAATCAAGGGAAGGGGATGAGCTCAGAACTGGAAGGTTTAAGGACATCTTGTCTTGTCTTACGGTCATCCTGGGGCCTGTAGGGCCCTGCCCTTCACCATGCTCCTCCCACAGGGAGGCCGTGCTGCCCCAGCTGCACTTGGATGAGGACTATCCCTGCTCGCTCGTGGGCAACTGGAACACGTGGTATGGGGAGCAGGACCAGGCAGGTGAGATGCCTGCCTCCCTGGGGGCTCTTGGCACCCTTCCCATCCCGCTGTCCTCCATTCCCTCCACAGCAGCTTCTGCAGTGGGCTGTACTCTCGGGCAGCCCATGAAGCCTTCCATACTCAGCCATGGCTAGTCCCATCCCGCTTAGGCCTCCCCAGTTCCGTTCCCCAGAAGGAACATTTCCTGTTCAGGTTCCAGGCTGCCACTCACTGATCTTTCCTCCCCTGGGAGGATTCTCCCTTGGCTTGCTTTATTGGTTCACCTGTCTTTCATCTAGTCTTATTTAACATGGACATCACTTCTTCCTGGAACCCCCTCCCTGAATTTTCTCCACTCAAGCTGGGCTAGGAACCTCCCGTGGTTCTCCAGGCCCCAGTTCACGCCTCTTCATGTTCTCATCTTGTGCCTGTAGCTGTCTCTTGCTGTATGTTCTGAATCCTGGAGGCCATGGTGAACCCCCAGTATGTAGCACATGTAGCACAGCTTTGTAGGGTACCCTCAGACTCTATCTACAAATAGCTATCTTAGATTTAGTTAAAATTAAATGCTAAAAATCTATTTCCTCAGTCACTCACTATAGCCACGTCGAGTGCCTACGTGACCTGCAACTGTTACCTTGGACAGCTACAGAACAGTTTTATTATAGCATAAGGGCCTTTTGGAATCTGCCTCGAACACTTTGTGTGTGTGTGTGTGTGTGTGTGTGTGTGTGTGTGCGCGCGCACACACACACACAGTATTGTAGCTTGAACTGAGGGCATAGACATTGCCAGTATTGTAGCTTGAACTGAGGGCATAGACATTGTCTCTTAGCTTTTTTGCTTAAAGTTGGTGTTCTGCCAACATGGGCCATAGCTCTGCTTCCCATTTTTTGCTGATTGATTGGAGATAAGAGTCTCCTTGACTTTCTTGTCCAGGTTGGTTTCAAGCCATGGTCCTCAGATCTCAGCCTCCTGAGTAGCTAGGATGACAGGCGTGAGCCACCGGCGCCTGATTGCCCTTGTCACACTTAACCCATGTTGGAGCCACTCAGTGTCCTGGCAGCCCCCTGACCTGTGCCCTCCCCAACAGTGCACCTGTGGCGATTCTCAGGCGGCTACCCAGCCCTCATGGACTGCATGAACAAGCTCAAAAACAACAAGGTATGTGTATGTCACATCACTTCTGCCCCCAAAGGCTCTACCTCCCCACGGGACCCACTGCTGGTGGGGGTCACTTCCTGATCAACATGCCCACATTGCCTGGCCCCCAGGAATACCTGGAATTCCGGAAGGAGCGGAGCCGGATGCTGCTGTCCAGGAGGAACCAGCTGCTTCTGGAGTTCAGCTTCTGGAACGAGCCACAGCCCAGAGCCGGTGGGAACATCTATGAGCTGAGGACCTACAAGCTCAAGGTGTGTCCCTCTCTAACCTCCCCCCCTCCCGACAGCCATGCTGCTTGGCAGCTGGCCCGAGGTGGGCTGGCCCTGGACCCCAGCCTCTGGACTGGGCTCTTCCTCTGTTCCTTGGAGCGCAGAACAGGTGTACTGACTCGCCATGTGCACACCTGGATCCCGGCCGAGAGGCCCTGGGGCGTTGGGGACAGCTGAGATGCTGGGAGTCAAAGGGGCTCATTGCTCTTCCTTCCGGTTCTTTTTCAGCCAGGAACCATGATCGAGTGGGGGAACAACTGGTGAGGAGCAGCCCCAAGTCTGAGGGTGTGGGCGAACGATGGGCCCCTGGGTGGCCACTTGGCCAAGGGCACATGGCAGAGACCCCAAAGGAGGAGCAGCCTAGAGATGCAGACCTAGAGGGAATGAGGCCTCTCCTGGTAAAGCAGCAGCCAGCGGTGGTGCCTACAAAGTCCCATGCCCCAGCCGTCCATCCTGCCAGCCCCAGGCCCCAGACAGGCAAGGATTCAACCTGCATCCACCTCGCCCTGGCCTCTAACCCACACTCTGTGCCATTTCCAGGGCCCGGGCCATCAAATACCGGCAGGAGAACCAGGAGGCTGTGGGCGGCTTCTTCTCACAGATAGGGGAGCTCTACGTTGTGCATCACCTCTGGGGTAGGTTATGGGCTCCTGGGAGGCTTCTGCTGGTCCCCTCCCTCCCATGTCATTCCGTGTGCCTTTATGGAACTCACATTCTAGCAGAGGGACACTCGATGTCAGCCAAGAACTTGCCAAAAATGACTCATTTCAGATGATTGCTGAGACTGTGGAAAGAAGGCAGAAAGAGATGATAGAGGAAAACTTGAATAGGGAAAGAAATCCTTCCTGAAGGCTAAATGTAAATGCAGAGCCAGCTGTGATTTGCTGGAGGGAAACATGGCGAGTGGAGGCAACAGCATGTGCAAAGGTCCTGTGGTAGGGGGCCTCTGGAAGGGAGGTTGGTATAGGAGTGAGTGAGGAAGAGTGTATGGAGATGGAATAGGAAAGGAGGACAGATAGCCAGATCGTTATATGCCTCACAGGCTGTGGATGAGCCGGGATTCACCGGAAATAAACTGGGAGCTGTAGGAGTAGTAAACAATTCTGGTTGTTAAGTGCCTAGGGACAGTAGAGAAGAATTTAACATGAGCTCAAGCAGGTGAGGATGGGGCCTGGTCTCAGGTAGTAACACGGGTGCTGAGCCTAGAGACTGTGAACAAATGCTATCCGAGATGGAGTTATCCCTGGTGGGGTGAGGAAGGAGGATGCCAGCAGAGCTCCCAGGCCCTGTCCTAAAATAGCTGTGTCATTTTGCCAAGACTGGAAGATCTTGGGGAGGAGCAGGGTTAAGGCCTAAGGAAGGTAACATTTAAGATCCTGGCACATCCAAATACAGATGGCATGCAGACACAGCATACTGGAGAATCTCGAGGACAGTCTGGGGCTGAAAGTAGAAGTTTAAGAGTTGTCAAGCCGGGCAACAATGAGATGTACAAGATGCTATGTCGAAAACGAACTTTACAATTTAGGTGGGGTGGGGGTGGGGGAGGTGTAGTTGTGGAGATGGGGGAAAGGAATGGGAAGGGAATAACAAAGGAGGAGGCTACAACGCTTGATAAGAAATGTACTCATTACCTTGCTCACGTAATTGTAACCCCTCTGTACAGTACTTTCACAATAAAAAAACTTACTTGTCAAGCCGGTGCCAATGGCTCACACCTGTATGTAATCCTAGTTACTCAGGAGGCTGAGATCTGAGGATCATGGTTCAGGAACATCCGTGAGACTCTTATCTCCAGTTAACCACCAGAAAAGCAAAATGGTGCTGTGGCTCAAGTGGTAGAGTGCTTGCCTTGAGCCGAAGAGCTGAGGGACGGCACCAGGCCCAGAGTTCAAGCCCCACAACCACCACCACCACCAACCAAAAAAGAGTCAACACACATACACTTCCTAAAATCCCAAAGGCAAAAAAGAATAAAAAAATAAAATCCCAAAGGCCTTTTTCTACCTTAGGGCCTTTGCACATACTGTACCTCTTTCTTGAAGCACTTTTCTCCAGCAGTTCACAGCTGGCTCCTTTTCATCCTTTAGCTCTGACCTTACATTTACTCCCTGGGAGTAACCTTTTTTGTCTTGTCACTTGAGTTTTCTCTTTCATGTCTTCCTGTCCTTTTTTCATAAATACTGTCTTTTTTTTTTTTTGGACAAGTACCTGGGTGAGACTGACAAAGGCAATGTTTGCTGACAGTCTGAGGGAGGCAGCTGGGGAGGAAGAGGTAGCAGGCCAGACGTGGGGTGGTAGGAAGGGCCCTGTGCTCTGGGAGATCATCTGTGTGTGATGAATGAGCTTGTGCCTTTTCCACAGCCTATAAGGACCTGCAGTCTCGAGAAGAGACTCGAAACGCTGCCTGGAGGAAGCGGGGCTGGGATGAAAATGTTTACTATACAGGTAAGTGCCTCCTCTGGGTGGGTCAGTGGGGCCTTCAGAGGACATTTGAGGGGAGCCCCATGTGGGCATGAGTCTCCCTGCACAGACAGCCTCATTTGATCACCTCTAGTGATGAAGAACTGTTTTGCAGTTCTACCACTTGAGCTATAGCCCCATCCTTTTTTGCATTTGTTGTTTATTTTTCGTCAGTTGTGGGGTTTGAACTCAGGGCCTAGGCGCTGTCCCTGAGCTCTTTTGCTCAAGGCTAATGCTCTGCCACTTTGAGCCACAGCTCCACTTCTGGTTTTCTGGTGGTTCATTGGAGATGAGTCTCATGACTTTCTTACCTGGGCTGGCTTTGAATCTCCATCCTCAGGTCTCAGCCTCCTTGAGTAGCTAGGATTACAGATGTGAGCCACCAATGTCCAGCTGCATTTGTTATTTTTATGGCCAGAGTCATCCTGAGCAGCCTCAGCCCATGATCTTTCTACAGATAGCCTCTTGTTTTGAGGAGTATTGCTTTTGTCCCTCAGGCTGGCCTCCCACAATGATACTCCCATATCTTTCTCCAGAGTAGTTGGGATTACAGGGATGAACTACCCTTCTGGGCCCTAATTTATGAGCAAGTTTTTTTACCTTTTTTTTTTTTTTTGCTGGTCCTGGGGCTTGAACTCAGGGCCTAGGCACTGTCCTTGACCCTCTCTGTGCTCAAGGCAAGTGCTCTACCACTTGAGCCACAGCACCACTTCTGGCTTTTTCCGTTTATGTGGTACTGAGGAATTGAACCCAGGGCTTCATGCATGTTAGGCAAGCACTCTACCACTAAGCCACATTCCTAGCCCAATGAGCAAATTTTTGCTCAAGGTGTTACCACTTTGCTAGAAGCCAAGAGAACCACCTGGAGTCAGTCAGTGGGACAGACCCCTATCACGGGGGCAGGACGCTGTGGTGACTGACTGGTTGTTGGCAAATAGGTAAATAAGAGCCGTCTTGGCCCTTGACAAGGAGTCAACAGTGATGCTTCCTCACTTCCAGCTGGTGTGAGATGTGTTTGGGACAGGTAGCCCAGGCTGGCCTCAATCCCTCAATCTTCCTGCCTCAGCCGTCAGTTACAGGTGTGCACTACCACACTGTTAGAAACTGTACTTTAACTAGAAGGTGATTTCTCTTAAATCACAGTCCAAAAAGCTCCAAGCAGGAAGCAGAAATTTCACCTTCAGGGTGACCTTCAGCTCCTAGCTGAAAAAAGGAGATCTAAAAAAGGAGTTAGTTGGACCACACAAATGTTTCTTTTGGCTAGTCCTAGGGTTTGAACTTAGGGCCTGGGCACTGTCCCTGAGCTTTTTCACTCAAAGTGAGCACTCTACCACTTAGAGCCACAGTGACACATGTGGTTATCTGGTGGTTAGTAAGAGTCTCATGGATTTTCCTGCCTGGGCTGGCTTTGAATTGTGATCAGGTGTGAGCCCCTAGCACCCAGCCATCCCCTCACAGCTTTTCTGTCAGTATATTACCACCAAGGTTATCTTGTTTTCCCCCCTTTTGGTGCTTTGAACCCTGTACCTTGCATAAGCTAATAAACATGTACTCTGCTACTGAATTCCACTCCCAGCCTTATAAATACCTTGATATTTTTTCTTCCAACTATCCTACTTTATCCTTAACCTGTCTTTGTCCTTAACAGTATCTGTGAAATCATTATTTGTGTGTGTGCCAGTCCTATATTGCTTAAGGCTAGCTAGCACTCTACCATTTGAGCCATAGCTCTACTTCTGGCTTTTTTGGTGGGTTACTTGGAGATAAGTTTCTCAGGGACTTTCCTGCACAGGCTGGTTTCAAACTGCGATCCTCAGATCTCAGCCTCCTGAGCAGCTAGGATTATGGGCATGAGGCACTAGTGCCCAACTACAAAATTAACTTTTACTTAACTAGTTTGTTTCTGTGGTACTTTGGATGGAACCCAGACCATCATTCAAGCTATTCAAGTGCTCTACCCCTCAGTTACATCCCCTCCCAAGCTATTTGGTTCACATTTATAGGAAAACAAATTTAAAAAAATCTTTATCTCATCTCAACCAAAGTCCTCTTATAATGTATTCTCCATTGGCGCTTCTTGAAGGGCAACAGGACCTCCTTTCCTTTCACATGGGTGTGTGTGTGGCTGTGGCCTCGGTCCTCTTTGTGACCTCTTCTCTCTCCACAGTCCCCTTGGTGCGACACATGGAGTCTCGGATCATGATCCCCTTGAAGATTTCTCCTCTCCAGTGATCCTGCTGATGCCTCTGCCTCCTTCCCCTTCTCCCTCAGGGCAGCCTGGGACAGCAGCACTCTTGGTCCTGATTTTTTCTCTCAGCTTTGGAAGGACTCTAAAGAGTAGTGCTTAACTCAAAGCTGACAATTGTTCTGAGCATGACAGCATTTTCCAGAAAACACCTTCTCCCACGCCCACCAATCTCCTTCCCCCTGCTGGAAGTAGTTTTTTATTTCCTTGAATGAAGCATTAACAACCTTTTAGGTTTTCTCCCATTTCCTCCTCCCCCCCAAGATTCTTTTTCTCAAGGCCACCAGACCTTAATTATCATGATGGATATGATTTAGTTGCACAAAAGATAGCATGACCCATGGTTGGAGGTGGAGTAGTGGGAGGCTAGAGGTTAGACGAGGCCTGATCCTTGGAATTCACTGGTCACCATTGGACTATCCACTTGGACAAGCAAGTTCCAGCCAAATCCTTTCTGAGAGGCAAAAGCCCGGAACTGCCATAAACCCTCCACTCAGCAAGAACAGGAGATCCAGGAGACACACATGGAACAGATATCCATGTGAGAACTTAGCGTTCAGAACGTGGGTTTGAATTACAGAATTTGGAATACAGGATTGTTAAGAAAGAGTTGAAGCCGGTCGCTGGTGGCTCACGCCTGTAATCCTAGCTACTCAGGAGGCTGAGATCTGAGGATCGCGGTTCAAAGCCAGCTCGGGCAGGAGAGACCGTGAGACTCTTACCTCCAATAAACCACCAGAAAGCCGGAAGTGGCGTTGTAGCTCAAGTGGTAGAGCGCTGGCCTTGAACTGAAGAGCTTAGGGACAGCGCCCAGGCCCAGAGTTCAAGCCCCACGACCGACCAAAAAAAGAGTTGATACAAGCCCTGTGGTGGCAAGCCCTGTGGTGGGGGAGGAGAGGGTTTCATCCTAATATTAGATGGAGAGAAGCTTGTCTGCTTCTTCCTGCTAGTTGTAAAACCTCTTGCCCTCCTTCTGACAGGCAAAGATAGGGACCAGGACCTGTATCTTCCTCACCTTTCATTCCCTCTCCCATACTTGGACATTTTGTTAAGGAGACTTAATAGAGCCCAGCAGGTCTAAGGAGTGGAGCCCATGGCTGGGGGAGGGAGTCATGTCTGCTCAGTGATCCTCATGCCTCTACTCAAGCTTGATTGTGCCTCCTGTCTGGACAAACGTGTGGAGTTGCTGATGGAACCAATTAAAAGATTTCTATAAATACTGACGTCTCCTTCTTCAGGGAACCTCAGCAGATGCCCAAGGCAGGGCGCAGAGCACTGCTCCCCTCCCGGGGTAAGGTAGTGAAGTCCTGAGCTATTCCCTGGAGGGTTCCTTCATCCTCCTCGCAGGGCAAGAGAAAGGCACTGTCTGCACACGTGGAGAGTCAGGACGCGGGTGTTTCTAGCTCCCGATGAGTTTCCTGCCGGAAATCCTGGCGCGAGGGGTCGGAAACGGCCTGGGAGTTTCCAAATACACTACAGTTGTGGTTGCTGTCCTTGGCGTGGAGAAGCGGGTGTGTGCAATGGGGAAGTTATGCCCGTCCCGATCTGCGCCCTCCCGGGTGGCGGGGCGCGGACGGAAGCGCAGGCAAGCCCGCCGGGCCCAGCTTCCGCGCTGCGGCCTGAGCTGCGGGGCAACCGAGCCGCTCCAACCTCGCTGCGGACACCGGAGGCCACGCCCGCCCGCTGCTGGCACGCTTCACGCGACGGGGCGGGCACGAGGCACGCGAGTCGACTCGGTCCTCACAGCCTCAGTTTCCCGGTGTTAGAGCAGCGGATCACGATGGGGAAGCGCGGCTCGGCTGGGACGCGCGGCTCTTCCGACTGGGTCAACCGCTCTCCCTGCCCGCCGCGCTTCACTTTCGGGCCGCACTTCCGGACTCCGAGCCGCACTTCCGGCGTGCCGCTCCTTCCTTCAGCTTCTCTCTATGGTTGGCGGAAGTGAGTCGCCCCGCTGCCGGAAGTCGCGCGCGCGCGCCGGGAAATCGGATTCTGTGGTGAGGAGCGGGTCGGTGTGGCGGGGTGGTGCCGGGAATTTCGGGCCCGGAAAGTGCCTCTGGTCTGAGGCCCTGTCCAGCTCCTCCGCCCTCACTCGCATGTCCCATCGCTGGGCTTGGGGCCGTTTCCATATCTCCCCCAGCCCACGGTGTGGCCCGGTGGTGGTGGTGGTGGTGATGATGATGATGGTGGTGGTGATGGTTGTGATGATGATGATGATGATGACGGTGTGGCCCGGTGGTGGTGGTGGTGGTGATGGTTGTGATGATGATGATGATGATGATGACGATGATGACGGTGTGGCCCGGTGGTGGTGGTGGTGGTGGTGATGATGATGATGATGATGATGATGATGGTGGTGGTGGTCGTGGTGTTAACCATTCCGTTAATTGTGCCTTGTTGTGTGCCGGGGACTTAGGTGTGACGCCAGAAGTTGGGGTTTCCTACAATGAAGCCTTTCGGGTTCCACCTTGGTGGGTTGTGCCAGATCAGTTTGTCTCAGTACAACTTTTTGCAAAGGATTTTTAATCCAGTGTCTTTTTTTTGGGGGGGGGGAGGTAGGAGTGCGAGTGCTGGGGGTCAGCCAGTGGCTTCGCGCATACAGGACAGGCGCTCTCTCATGGAGTTCAAGTCCCTTTTTAAACTTAAATTCAGTCCCTTTTTAGGTTAAATTTACTTTGTGAGAAAGGTTCTGATCCCTTCACTATATATAGAAAACGGCCATCGCTTATGCAGAAGATACTGATAAAAAATTAATATTTCTGGCAGATGGAGGTGACTCAAAATCTGTAATCTTAGCTATCCTGGAGGCTGAGTTCGCTGTTGGGGGGGGGGCACAACCTTCTTAGCCAGTAAAAAAGCTGGGCTGTGGCTGGTGCTTGTCATCTCAGCTAGGAAGCCTAAATAGGAACAGGATAAGTCCAGGCTCAGATCCAGACATAAATGCTAGCTCATGTTCCCAAAACTAAAGCAAAGTGGATTGAGGTATATATTTCAAGGGCTAGAGTTCCTGCCTTACAGAACTCTAAATTCAATCTACAGTTGGCATAGTAATATAATAAAAACAGACCATTGCTAACTTTTGCTTATTGTCAAAGAGGTAGTCTTTTTGTTACAAAGTGACACTGGTATTTGTAGAAGTTCAAGAGAAACTAGGCAGCCAGACTCTGGTGTCTCAAACCTATAATCCTAGTTACTTAGAAGGCTGAGCTCTGAGGATCAAGATTCAAAGCCAGCCTCCAGCAGAAAAAGTCAGACTCTAATATCCAGTTAACTGGCAAAAAGCCATAAGTGGAAGTGTGGCTCAAGTGGCCTTGAGTGAAAATCCAAGCAAGAGTGTAAAACCCTGAGTTCAAGCCCCAGTACTCACACAAAGCAACTAGGCAATTAAATCCTACACTGTACCCCCCTCCAATTAGGGAGTGAACTTCAGGGCTTCATATTTGCTAGGTAAGAACTCCAGTACTTCAGCTATGTCCTCAGCAATCAGAAGTTTCAAAAAAAAAAAAAGAAAATGGATGAGTAGACATAGTAGTTCTTGTAATCCTAGAACTCAGGAGACTGAGGCAAGAAGGTCTCAAGTTTGAAGCCAACTTGGGCAGTTCAGTCAGACCCTATATCAAAAAGGGAGGAGGTGGGGATTACTGTCTCCATGGATGCTTAGGACTACCTAACATCACTTATGTACTTTCTACAGCCCCATTCCTCATTGTGTTCATCTTTCCCAGCACAGTTCCTTGTTGTTAATTCATTTTGAAATGACACTATTGCTAGGTGGATCTCCTTCCAATTCAGCCTTTTTTTTTGTCTTTGGGGCTTGAACTCTGGGCCTGGGCCCTGTCCATAAGCTCTTCAGCTCAAGGCCTGCACTCTACCACTTGAGTCATAACACCATTTCCACAGTGCTTTGTATTAATGGCTCCTAACAGCCCCCTAGTTAGAGACTGTTATTTGATTTGAAGAAGCAAATCTGAAGGAGCCAACACAGAATGCCATAATATTGGTGCATGGAGATTCCAATCCAGGAATTTCCAAATGCATCACAACTTATTTGGTGCTCTCCAGAAGTATTGGTGAGATTGATTGGGCATACACCTGGAGGTGATGACCGAGGGGTGGCAAGGGAGGATGTTTTGTGGTCATAGAGTTCCATGAAATGCATTCTTTTTTAATTTCATGGTTAAGCACCAGTGAGTGGCCTTGACATATGGGATGCTGGCTAGAGTAGGTAGTACAGTCCAAGGACACTAGTGTACATCATGTGTACCTACTGCTTTAGCACACTAGTTTGAACCACTAATGCATCCACATTTCCAGGCCTCAGTGAAATGGTAGTGGTTCTTGCCTGAAAAGTTTGTTATAAGTCTCAAATGAGGACATACCCATAAAGTGCTTACAAGACTCAACACACAGGACCAACCAGTAGTACTGGGACCAACCTTGTTCACCACACAGGAATTTGGGGGTAAATTCATGGAGCTCCGAGGGAAGAATCTAGGCAGGGAGACAAGCAAAGATAAATTTCCTAATAGTTTATGCAAAGTACCCAAAAGAGTTCCTTAGTGAGACCTCAGAGGCTTCCCAGAGCAGAGGAGCTTTGCTTAGTCTAGAAGTGGAGAGGATGAAGAGAATTTCAAGGCAGGGAAAGCCTGTGTGCTATTCTGGGAGCTGTGAGTGCTGTGAGTAGTTGCAGCTAGGGGTAGAGGTCAGAGGCAAGGGAGGATTAATAGGAATGGGAGAAGTGTGGTTGGGAAGGTGGGTTGGGGAAAAACCAGGAAGGGACTGTTTGCAGGGCCAGGAAATAAAAGACTTCATTCTATACATTATGAAGAGGCAGCAAAGATTTTGAAACAGGCTGGTGTTATTTTTTGTGCCGATCCTGAGGCTTGAACTCAGGGCACTGTCCCTTAGCTTTTTTGCTCAAGGCTAGGGCTCTACCACTTCAGACACAGTGCCACTTCCAGCTTTGTGGTGGTTCCTTGGAGATAAGAGTCTCACAGGCTTTCCTGCCCAGGCTGGCTTTGAACTGTGATCCTCAGATCTCAGTCTCCTGAGTAGTTAGGGTTATAGGCATGAACTACACAGCTAGATTGGTCTTTTTTTGGGGGGGGGGTCCGGCTGTGCAGCCTGAACTCTGGGCCTGGGCACTGTCCCTCAGTTCTTCAGCTCAAGGCTAGCACTCTACCACTTGAGCCACAGCACCACTTCCGGCTTTTTTCTTTTGCTTATGTGGTGCTGAGGAATCGAACCCAGGGCCTCATGTATGCAAGGCAAGTACTCTACCACTGAGCCACCTTCCCAGCCCTAGATTGGTCTTTTTAAAGAAAGGATTTAGACAGTATTGTTAGGCAATACTGAGAGGAGCATGGAGGCCTGACCTGTAGGGTGTTTATAGGGACAGCGTGTCACCTGGGGCTGCAGGACACTCTGGTTAATGAGCTGGGTTGAGGGGTAGAGGAGGGAGAGGTTGAAGGTGATTCTGAGATGAATGGAGCATGTAATGAAGCTTATTTTGAAAAGGGAGAAAGGACCAGAGATGTAGATCAAAGGTAGAGCGCTGGCCTAGCCTTACCAAAGCCTACAGTCTGACCCATAGCACCTGGAGAAGGGAGAGGAGATGGAGCAGACAAATTCATTTTGGAGAAGCTGAAGGATGATTCTCTGTGGAGAGGGGATTCAACCCTGTGGAAGATTAAGTGATTTTTTTTTCTTGGTTCTTGGGCCTGAACTCAGAGTCTTTTTACTTGCTTTTATGTTGGTACTCTACCACCTAGGAGATGCCTCCAGCCCAGCTTTTTGCTAGTTATTTGGAGCTAGAGTCTCTGACTTTTCTGCCTCCATTGGCTTCAAACCATGATCCTTCTACCTCAGTTTCCTGAGTAGCTAGGATTACAGAAATGAGCTACTGGCACCCAGCTGTATATTTTCTTCACAGTAGAATACCAAATCTGCTAGTCAGACTCTGGAAGAATCTCAAAAACTTTCTCCTTTTAGGGGCTGGGAAGGTGGCTCAGTGGTAGAGCGCTTGCCTTGCATGCATGAGGCCCTGGGTTCGATTCCTCAGCACCACATAAGCAGAAAAAGCCGGAAGTGGCACTATGGCTCAAGTGGTAGAGCGCTAGCCTTGAGCTGAAGAGCCAAGGGACAGCACCCAGGCCCAGAGTTCAGGCCCCCAAAACCGCAAAAAAAAAAAAAAAAAAAAAAACTTTCTCCTTTTAAAAGCTCTTTGCTGTTTGCCTTCTGACTTCTAGGGACAGCCATGTCATCAGAATCCAGCAAAAAACGGAAACCCAAAGTGATTCGAAGCGATGGAGCTCCAACTGAAGGAAAAAGAAGTCGATCTGACATTGAGCAGGTGAGACTAGCCAGTTATTACCACGCACCTGAGAAATTGCAGCTGTGGCCCATGGTGAGACTCACAGAGCCTCAGGTTCTGTTCACTTCAGGGCTAACAGCAACATCCCAAGAATTACCAGACCTGTAGGAGACATGATTAATACCACACAGAGCATGTTCCAATGTGATACAAGGCTCCAGTTTTCCTGATGGACCAAAAAAGGCAGTGCCTCAGCAGCACAGTGCTGGAGCTCTGGAAATATTGTATCCCTGGATCTGCCATTAACAGGGTACCAGAACCACATGCCCCTGCATCTAAGTACCGCTCAGCAGGATTTTGGTTACATGGAATCTGGTACGTCTTCTTCATAGGAGGCTATCATGCAGCCATTTTGTTATTTGAAGAGAATCTACTGCAAACAGCCTGGACAATATGATCCTATCTTTCTTAAAAGTAAAATGTGTACTTACGATATTCACAAATGAATTGTTTGGTGTGGGGAAGAGATGTGCGGAAGAGATATTGTGGGCAATTTTCCATTTTCTTTTTGATATTTCTCTGTTCAGAATTATTTTCACCAAACATGTGGTGATTACTTTGTAATCAAAAAGAGAAAAGGAGGGGCTGAGGGGTGTGGCTTAGTGGTAGAGTGCTTGCCTATCTTGCCAAAGGCCCTGGGCTTGATCCCTAACACTGCAAAATGGAGAGAGAGAGTGTGTTAGAGTTCTACTTCGAAAAACAAGCTACCTGACTTGGAGCTAATCTTATGTAATGAGAGAGTTCAGCCCAGTTCCCTCCTCCCAATAGGAAGGCTTTCACCCCCTACCTGGAGCCTCTCTTCTTGCCTCCACAGGAAGGTAAATACTATAGTGAGGAGGCTGAGGTGGACCTGCGGGACCCTGGGAGAGACTATGAGCTGTACAAGTACACATGTCAGGAGCTGCAAAGGCTGATGGCCGAGATCCAGGACCTGAAAAGCAGGGGCGGCAAGGATGTGGTAAGGAGCAAGGCCAGGGAGCCATGGGCCTGCTAAGTCTGTGTAGATGGTGCTTTTTTTGCCCCTAGCAGGGCCTTTTCTGATCTTGGCCTTCTGTCCTAGCCATGATCAGGTGATTGGAACCTAGAGGCTCTCAAGCCTATTCATTAATTGGAACTTATCATCACCACTCAGTCACCCATTACAGTAGTAAAAGAACAGGACAGGCATGAGCTGTACACCTGTAATTATACCTGTAATCCTACCTACTCAGGAGACTGAGATCTGAGGATCCCGGTTCAAAACCAACCCAAGCAGGAAAGTCTATGCATAAGACTCTTATCTCTAATTAATCACCAAAAACGTAGAAGTGGAACTGTGGCTCAAGTGGTAGAGCACTAGCCTTGAGCACACAAAAAAAGCTCAAAGACATCACCCAGGCCCTTAGTTTAAGCTCTAGGACTGGTACACATGCGTGTGCGTACACACACACACACACACACACACACGAATAGGACAGTTAACTTTTTTAGAAAGCACCCAGCAGTTTTGCTGGGCATTAGGAAATAATAGTACATGTTGATTTTCTTGATGGTAAGGACCAAAAAAGACATTATTACAATGTTAAATGAATAAACTGGACTTTAGGGACCAAAAAAAATCTAAACAGTGTGAAACCTTACAGTGTGTTTATGTCTAACAACTAGAGGGATGCAATTTTTTTAATGCATTTTCTCCCTTAGGAATTTTTTTCTGCATATGTTGGCCAATATCCATAAGATTATTATTGTTATCCTGTCTGTGATAGTCAAACGTTATGGCTGTACTTTAGTTATTTGCATTTAAATTACTCGGTAACACTACTTACAGAGGCATGATGTTGCTTTTGCAAGGGTCTGTATCTGTTCGTGCAAATGTTAATTGTGTGTTGACTATACTTGCTCCTTTTCAATTCCTGTCACTCCAGTAAAAGTAGAAACGGCTTTTTCTGTTTTCTTTTCCAGTACCAGGACTTGCACTCAGGGCCTCATACTTGCTCAGCTTGCTTGCCTAGATGATGCTAACCACTTGAGCCATACTTCCAGTCCTGCTTTTTGCTGGTTATTTTGGAGATAGAGTCTAGTGGATTTCTCTGCCTGGCTGGCTTCAAACTGCAATCTTCCAGATCTCAGCCTACTAAATACCTAGCATTATGTGAAGCTACCAGTGCTTGGCTCTGAAATTGCTTTAAAAAATTTTTTTTGTGGGAACCTTAAACACTTCCTTTCTTCAGTCATGGGTCCATTTCATTCATGATATTTCTCTTGGCCCCAAGCCCCTTCCAGGTTTTTGGCCTTGTATGGAAATAGGTCAGCACTGGGTCTCAAGGAAGCCATGCCAGAACCTGTTTTTAGTGGTCTAAATGTCTTCTTTGTTTGCAGGCAATTGAAATTGAAGAACGGAAAATCCAGAGCTGTGTGCATTTCATGACTCTAAAGAAGCTTAACCGATTGGCCCACATCAGGTTGAAGAAAGGAAGAGATCAGACCCACGAGGTAAGAGTTGAGAGTTTAGCCCTCGTTCTCGCTACTCTTCCCCACCCCTTCTTTGACCCCTGATGCTCTTTATGTGGCTTTGCTGGCCTTGCTCACCATTTCCAACCTTATCTTCCCTTTCAGGCTAAGCAGAAGGTAGATGCCTACCACCTGCAGCTACAGAACTTGCTGTATGAGGTGATGCACCTACAGAAGGAGATCACCAAATGTTTGGAGTTCAAGTGAGTTTGAGAGGACAGGGCTTTGGCACAGCTGGTTTGTGGAAACTGCTTAGTGAGAGCCAGTCTCTTTCAAAGAAATCTAGTGAGCTTGGAAGTCTTGGGATATAGGAGGAGGGTCAGTAGATCACTTTGAGTGGGAACATTACAATTAGTAGTTTCAGGCTGCTCAGAGAGCCACAGAAGTCTCTCTGGCCCTTTAGTGTTTTGAACTCTGAACTTGGTAAAAAGCAGTTCTCAATCCTCAGCAGGGGCCTCTGTGTTACCAGTTTGATTCCTACTCACTAAATATGGGAGCTGCTGTCTGTCTGTCTGTCTGTCTGTCTGTGGTCGTTGTCGTGTCGTCGTCCCCCCCCCCCCCTTCCTGCTTCCTTTTCTTTCCTTACCTTTCTTTTCCTTTTTGTGTTTTTTTGTTTGTTTGTTTGTTTTTAATTGGTGTGGGGCTTAAAATCAGGGCCTGGGTGCTCTTCCTAGGCTTTCTAGCTCAAGGCTAGCACTCTACCACTTTCAGCCACAATGTCACTTCTGGTTTTCTGGTGGTTATTGGAGATAAGAGTCTCATAGACTTTGTTGCCTGGGCTGGCTTTGAACCCTGATCCTCAGATCTCAGAGTAGCTACAATTATAGTTTTTTCACATCTAGTTCTCTTAAGCTTATATAGGTGAAAGTTTTCAACTTTGATAGAGCTCTTTTTTTTTTTTTCTTTTAATCATACAGGGGTTTGAACTCAGGACCTCACACTTAATGGACAGGCATTCTACCACTTGAGCCTGGTGCAGGCTCTTACATTTACTCCTGTTCAGTGACATATCGTGGTTTCAACTTAACAGTTTAGACCTAGGCTGTAGGACTTTTTTGTCAGTTGCTGAGCTTGAACTCAGGGTCTGGGTGCTGTACCTGAGCTCTTTTGCTCAAGGCTAGTACTCTACCACTTGAGCCACAGTACCACTTCTAGCTTTTTCTGAGTAGTTTATTGGAGCTAAGAGTCTCATGGACTTTTCTGCCCAGGCTGGCTTTAAACTGCAATCCTCAGATCTTAGCCTCCTGAGTAGCTAGGATTATAGGCATGAGCCACCAGTACACGACTAGTTCTAGTCTTTTATTTGTATATTGTAGCTGTTGATGCCCAGGTTTGGTTGAGAGACATTTGTAAGTTTAGTAAGCATCCTTCCCAGTCTTGAGCTAATTTATGGATTTGAAAGGTTGGAGAGCACAGACAGGGATCTGTCTGTGGCACATCGCTGACAGCTGCTCATCACACAGGATCATCTGCCCATGGACACAGCTGAGATTGGATTTGGGGTTTTTGAAAAGTTGTAGGCCAAGACTGAGTGGACAGAGATGGGCAACTGTATAACTGCGTGAGCCAGATTGGAGAACAGCAGCTTGACGTCAGTTTTTACTGCTAGGTCTAAGCATGAAGAAATCGATCTGGTTACTTTAGAGGAATTTTATGAAGAGGCTCCACCAGACATCAGCAAGGTTGAAGTCACCACAGGAGACCCTCACCAGCAGACCCTGGCACGTCTGGACTGGGAGTTGGAGCAGCGGAAAAGGTAGTGCTTCCTCCTTCATGACCTCATTCACTATACAGTGGCAGCCTCACATGACCCTGACCAGGGCAGATACCTGATCTGGACCCAGCAGAATAGTCTATAAGACAAGTTCTATTTCTGATTAGTTCACACTGCATAGTTTACTTTACTAACCTCACCCTAGGTGGGCTTGTCATTGCTTAAAGCTATTTTTAAAAGTTGGAGTAATTTTTGTGTGTGTGTGCCTTTTCTAGAGCTTGAACTCAGGGCCAGGGTATTCTCTCCTAGATTTCTTCAATCAAGGCTGGCACTCTACTGCTTGAAGCACAACTCCCCTTCTGGCTTTTTTTTTTTTTTTTTTTTGTCGGTCATGGGGCTTAAACTCTGGGCCTGGTCACTGTCCCTCAGCTCTTCAGCTCAAGAAGAGTGCTCTACCTCTTGAGCTACAGCGCCACTTCCGGTTTTCTAGTGGTTCATTGGAGATAAGTGTCGCACAGATTTTCCTGCCCCGGCTGGCTTTGAACCGTGATTCTCAGATCTCAGCCTCCTGAGTAGCTAGGATTACAGGCATGAGCCACCAGTGCCCGGCTGCTTCTGGCTTTTTGATGGTTAGTTGGAGATTAGAGTCTCATGAACTTTCCTGCCAGAGCTGACTTTGACTGAGTAGCTAGGATTATAGGTATAAACTACCAGTACCAGGTATTATTCTTTTTTCTATTACTGAAGGTATCTGTGCCTCTGGCCCATGTTGCTTTAGTGATCATTGAGTCTGTTTCTTAGGACTCTATGCTCGTGTTTTTTTTTTTGTATTCAGGTAAGGGGTAGGTTTATTCAGTAGACCTGCTGGGACCAGGCAAGGTTGGCACTCCACGTGGCTGGGAAAGACCTGGGAATGAGAGAGAGCTGGGAAAGAGAGGAAAGAGAGAGGAAAGAGCTAGTATGCTCGTGTTTTTGAGAGTGGGGCTAGTCTGTCATTCCCCATCTGGTGGACTGTTTGAGTTGCACTCAGGCAGAGCCGTGAGTGCTGCATTCCTATGGTACAGATCTAGAATCCATTCCTGTCTTCTCCACTCAAGTAGTCTGTGGGCCTCTTTTGGGTTAAGGAGCTGTCTCTCAGGCAAGGAATGGAGCAGAAGATGATACAGCACTGTTCTCTAGTGGGCATGTACACAGAGAAATGGGCATGCATTCATAACTCTGTATGGCCTTGGGCAGGTCACATATCTTTGAGCCTTAGGTTTCTTCTCCAGGGATAAGGAAAGTCCCTGTCTTCCAGAGTTTTATAATTACTGTGTTAATGCTTACATTAAGCTCCTTAAAGGGTCATATAAGTACTGGCAGGCATTAGAATTAATCATAATTGAACTGTAAGATGAGTCTGACAGTGAGCAGGTATGTTGAGGTGTTGCATGAGTGACTATGCTCTGTCTGCCCCCTTCAGGCTGGCAGAGAAGTACCGAGAGTGCCTGTCCAGCAAAGAGAAGATCCTGAAGGAGATAGAGGTGAAGAAGGAGTACCTGAGCAGCCTCCAGCCTCGCCTCAATAGCATCATGCAGGTAGGTAGATGAGCTTAGCCTGTCGGCCCTTTGCTTTGCCTCTGCCAACCAGAGGTGGCTGAAGCCACATCCCTTAGGCCTTGCTGATCAGAGTACTACAAGCTACACTGTAAAATTGTGTTCTAGGGTAAAGAGGGAATGACCAGACAGGTGTCAGTGGCTCGCACTTGTAATCCTAGCTACCCGGGAGGCTGAGATTTGAGAATTAAGATTTGGAGTCAACTCAGGCAGACAAATCCAAGGAACTTATCTCCAGAAGGTTGGAACTGGAGCATGGCTCAAGTGTTAGAGCACTAACAACTATGAACTAACAGAGTGGAATAAAAATGTAAGACCCTGACTTCAAACTCCAGTACTAGCACAAAAAAGTGTTGGCTAGATGGGTTTAGGAGCACAGACACACATGCACCTATGCACTTTGCTTTTAAAAATCCAAAGCCTCCTCTGCATAAAATAGTTTCTCGGATTGGAAAGGTTCCATTTTCCCCTAATGGTTCGCACCCGTCCCCTACACATGCTTCCTGTGGATGTTTCCTAGGTCCTCCAAACCTTAGGGGCCAGACAGCTCAGCAGCCTAAATTCCAAAAAGAACTTGACTCATTTGAGAGCCTCTGTAGGAAAAGCTCTAACTTTACCCATAAATTGGAATGTATACTGGTCACCTGATTTTGTTTTCCTTTCCAAAGCCAGATTTGGGTTAAATCATTACAGTTTTATAAAGCAGTGTACGTGGCTAATACGGAGGAACCTTGTAAAAGGAGCCTGGAAAAATTCTAAACTCATTTTTATAGGACTTGGCAAGGTCTGCACTTTCTCCTTTTGACTCTAAGCATAGAATTAATTGTTGTTAAAAATAATCTTTTGTGTCTGATGCCAGTTACTCATGTCTGTGATCCTAGCTACTCTGGAGGCTGAGATCTGAGGATTGCAGTTTGAAGCCAGGCAGTGAGCCTGTCTGTGAGACTTATCTCCAGTTAACCACCATAAAAGCCAGAAGTGGAGTGGTGGCTCAAGCCTTGAGTAAAAAAGGTCAAGGAGGCTGGGAAGGTGGCTCAGTGGTAGAGCACTTGCTTTGCATGCATGAGGCCCTGGGTTCAATTCCTCAGCACCACATAAGCAAAAAGAAAAAAGCTGGAAGTGGCTCTGTGGCTCAAGTGGTAGAGCGCTAGCCTTGAGCTGAAGAGCTGAGGAACAGCACCCAGGCCCAGAGTTCAGGCCCCTCGACCAGACCCCCTCCCCAAAAAAGCTCAAGGACAGTGCCTAGACCCTGTGTTTAAGCCCCATTAGTGATATATACAAAAACTTCTGTGATATTTTATAATGGAAGAAAAAGAAGAATGCAAACTAGCAATTTTTGTTGTACTTAATTTTTTTTTTTTTAGTCGGTCGTGGGGCTTGAATTCTGGGTTTGGGCGCTATCCCTCAGCTCTTCAGCTCAAGGCAAGTGCTCTACCGCTTGAGCCACAACGCCACTTCCGGTTTTCTAGTGGTTTATTGGAGATAAGAGTCTCACAGACTTTCCTGCCCGGGCTGGCTTTGAACCTTGATCCTCAGATCTCAGCCTCCTGAGTAGCTAGGATTACAGGCATGAGTCACCAGTGCCCGGCTGTACTTAACATTCTTAAGTCCTCTACATGGTTAAATTCTCTGCTGTTAACTAGAACTCTGTAAATATGCCTAAATAGAATATAGATTTTTGTATAGTGCAGCTTTACAGCAATTCATGTATAAAGTAGCATACCACTAATAGAATGCTGGCCAGAAAAAAGTCTATTGCGGTATTAAATTTAAAATGCAAGTTGTAGAGTATATAGTATGAGGGGCTGGGAAGTTGGCTCAGTGGCAGAGTACTTGCCTCTCATGCATGAGGCCCTGGGTTTGATTCCTCAGCATAACATAAGCAGAAAAAAGTCAGAAGTGGCACTGTGGCTCTAGTGGTAGAGCTCTAGCCTTGAGCTGAAGAGCTGAGGGATGGTGCCCAGACTCAGAGTTCAGCTCCCACAACTGATCAAAAAAAAAAAAAAGGCCATATAGCATGATCTCATTTATATAATGTAGTCTGTAAAATATGTGTATCGGTATATGTGTGTACTTAGCTATATATAGCAAATCATTAACAATTATCTTTGAGTGCTGTAAGCTGGTAGGTTTAGCCTTATAAATGCAAGTACAACTCTGATACAGAATACATATATGACTTTAAAATAGACAGATGTGGGAGTGCATGCCTGTAGTTTCAGCTATAAGAAGCCAGCATAGGGAGGAATTTCTTTCTTTCTTTTTTTTTTTTTTGGGTCCGCTCATGGGGCCTGAATGCTGGGCCTGGGTGCTGTCCCTCAGCTCTTCAGCTCAAGGCTAGCGCTCTACCACTTGAGCCACAGCGCCACTTCAACTTTTTTCTTTTTGCTTATGTGGGACCCAGGGCCCCATGCAAGGCAAGCACCTACCACTGAGCCACCTTCCCAGCCCCGGGAGGAATTTCTTAAGCCAGGGTTTCCAGACCAGCCTGGACAACATAGCAAGAGCCCCATCTGAATGAATGAACAAATGAATAATTTGAACCAAAAGACAAACAGACATGGCTAAGTGTGCAACTCAATGGTAGAGTATATGCTTAGAATGAATTAGGCACCAAAATTAATAATAATTTTATATACAGAAAAGTCTACATCTCATAAGTATACAGGTGAATTCAATAAGTAACCACACTTGCGTAACCACCCAAGAGAAAGAACATTGCCCGCCAGGCACTGGTGGTTCACACCTGTAATCTTAGCTCTTCAGGAGTCTGAGATCAAAGCTAGCCTGGGCAGGAAAGGCTATGAGAGTCTTTTTATTTCCAATTAACCACCAGAAAAGTGGAAGTGGTACTGTGGCTCAAAGTTGTAGAGCACTGGCCTTGAGCAAAAAGAGTTCAGGAACAGTGCCCAGGCCCTGAGTTCAAGCCCTACAACCAACAAAAGGAAGGAAGGAACATTGTCTTTTTTTTTTTTTTGCCAGTAAAAAGAGTTCAGGGACAGTGCCCGGGACCTGAGTTCAAGCCCCACAACTGATGAAAGAAGAAAGGAAGGTTGCCTTTTTTTTTTTCCAGTCCTGGGGCTTGAACTCAGGGCCTGAGCACTATTCAAGCCCCATAACTGATGAAAGACAGAGAGGGGGGGGGGGGGGGGGGGGGGAGGGGGGGAGAAGAGGGGGGGGGGGAGGGAGAGAGAGAGAGAGAATGAAAGGAACATTGCTTTTTTTTTTTTGGCCAGCCCTGGGGCTTGAACTCGGGGCCTGAGCACTTCCCTGAGCTGCTTTTTGCTCAAGTCTAGCACTCTACCATTTGAGCTACAGCGCCACTTCTGGCTTTTTCTGTTTATGTGGTGCTGAGGAATTAAACTCAGTTCTTCTTGCTTGCTTAGCACTACCACTAAACCACATACCTAGCCCCCATTCCCAGTTTTTCTAGAAAAAATTTCTACTCCTGTGTACTATCTCCCCAATCCCTCAGTAACCATTATCTTAGCTCTGAGTCTTAGGTTACTTTTTTTTTTTTTTTTTGGTCAGTCATGGGGCCTAGGCATTGTCCCTCAGCTCTTCAGCTCAAGGCTAGCATTCTACCACTTCCACAGCTCCACTTCCAGCTTTTTCTGCTTATGTGGTGCTGAGGAATGAAACCCAGGCCTCATGCATGCAAGGCAAGCACTTTACCACTGAACCACCTTCCCAGCCCAGGTTTGTCTGTTATGAACAGACAAAATCCTATCTATTTAAAAGAAACTTACCTACTCTTTTGTGTCTGGCTTTTGCAACATGGTATACTTGTGGAATTTACTTGCACTACTGTGAGACCTAGTTCATCATTTTCCTTGATTTCAGTTGTTTTCAGTTTGGAGCTCTTACAAACAATAGTGCTGTGAGCATTTCCCCACATTCTCTTGTATATACCAGGTCAGGGGTAAAGCTGTGGCATACAGAGTATGCCAATATAGAAATTCCCAAAGGATCTTAGGAAAGGTCTTTGTTCTACATCCTTGCCAGTGCTTGCCATTGCTTCCTATAATTTTAGTTCTTCTGGGACATATTTCATTCTGCTTGTCATTTTGTAATTTTCATTTCCCTGAACACTAATGATGTTGAGCATACCTTTTTTTTTTTCTTACTTGTGCTGGGGATAGCACCTAGGGCATTATGCATGCTAGGCATATGTTCTACCACTGAGCCACAACCCAGTCCCTTAATGTTTTCTTAATAGTATTAGAAATATGGTATCTTTTTATAATTTCATATCATTATTATTATTTTGGTTGGTCATAGGACTTAAACTCAGGACCTGGGTGCTGTCTCTGAGTTGTGTTGCTCAAGGCTAGCACTCTGCCACTTTGAGCCACACTTCCACTTCATTTTTGGTGGTTACTTGGAGATAAGAGTCCATAGCCAGCACCAGAGGCTCATACCTGCAATCCTATCTACTCAGGAGGCTGAGATCTGAGGATCTTGGTTCCAAGCCAGCTCAAACAGGAAAGTCTGTAAGACTAAACCAGAAGTGGCACTGTGTCTCAGAGTAGTAGATCACTAGCCTTGAGTTGAAGAGCTCGGGAACAGTGCCCATGCCCAGTGTTCAAGCTCTAAGACCGACAAAAAAAATAGAGTCTCATAGACTTTCCTGCCCATGCTGGAATTACTCAGCCTCCTGAGTAGTTAGGATTGCAGACAAGAGCCCCCAGCACCTTGCTTCATATTTTTTTTTTTTGTCGGTCGGGGGGCTTAAATTCTGGGCCTGGGCGCTGTCCCTCAGCTCTTCAGCTCAAGGTGAGCGCTCTACCACTTGAGCTACAGCGCCACTTCCAGTTTTCTGGTGGTTTATTGGAGATAGGAGTCTCACAGTCTCTCCTGCCCAGGCTGGCTTTGAACCGAGATCCTCAGATCTCAGCCTCCTGAGTAGCTAGGATTACAGGCGTGAGCCACCAGCGCCCGGCTCTTGCTTCATATTTTTATTCTTTGTCGCTAGTAAGTAGAAGAAATACAGTTTGTTTTTTTGGTGGGTTTTTTTTTTTTTAATTTCTTGAGACAGCCCAAGCTGGATTTGAACTTGAGATCCTCCTGCCTCATCTCCAAAATATTTGTATGACAAGCATGACCCACCTGTCTAACTACAATTTTTCTATTGACCTCTTGTCTACTGATATATTCTATTAGTTTATCATGCATCTTATTTTTTTGTAAATAAAACTATATAGTTACAAAGCAGCCACATGTTCCTTTGTAACTGGACTAAAAAAATCCTTTTTTTGCCCATAGGCTTCCCTCCCGGTGCAGGAGTACCTATTTATGCCTTTTGACCAAGCTCACAAGCAGTATGAGACCGCCAGGCATCTGCCGCCACCCCTCTATGTACTCTTTGTCCAGGCCACTGCATATGGGCAGGCCTGTGGTGAGTATGGACCTGGACAGGGTTGGGAGGCTGTGGGAGCAGCAGTCATGGCCTCTAGCCTAGTGGAAGCTCTGCTTGCCCCAGGAGATTTCCCAGGCCCTGCCCACAAGCCTGCTGGAGACAGGTGTTGCCTCCCCCTCTGCCACACCCTGCATGACTGCTTCCTCCTGGCTTGCCTAAGGCTAGACTAACCTGATAGCCATTTCAGTATGGACAGCTTTGAATTCTTTATGAGCCTGTCCAGGCTCCTGGGTACTCGCTTATGTAGATTGCTATCTGTCTGCTGTTCTGCTGTGGGGCATGTCTGCTGTAGTGAGGGGCAGGGAGCATAGGTCCCAGCCAGATCTCCAAGCCTTTAAGGATGTATTTCAGGACATGAAACAGGTCTCATTTTGTAAGAAGCTGTGTCCTCAGGCTTAAGGCCACAGCCTGGGACTCTGCTAAGGGTTGGACAAAGCTTTTGCTTTTGTCCTAATGCAGCTTTCCCTGGCTGCTAGACTTTCTTCCTCCCTCCCTTCTATCCATCGCATCAGATTGACATAGATTGCACCAGCGTATGCCCCTCCTCCCAGCCATGGCACCAATACATTACTATCTCTCTTCTTGTATTTTCCTGGCCTGTCTCGTCGTCTCCCACTCCTTTGTTCTCCCTTCTGTTTCCATCATCAGCTCATATGAAATCCTCCTCCCAGCCCCATAGACAGGGTGAGTAATTTTCTTTTTTGTGTGTCTGCTTAAAATTCAGCTGTTTCCCCTTCCATTTTCCTGTAGAATTCAAGATTAAATAACAGAAAGGAATGCTTTAGGGCTAGAAATGGGGCTTAGGGCTGGAGCACTTGCCTGGAAAGCTCAAGACCCTAGCTTCAATCCCCAACTGCAAAGAGACAATCCAGGCATCTTCCACTGATGGTTTGGAGGTGGTATCGATGGTTTGTGTATGGTTGGTGGACATAAGGCAGTGGTCTGCTATTGCCCTCTCTTCTTAGTGCAGCTGGGCAAGTAGGGTCAGGCTTCTGTGGCTCTTTGTACCCTTGAGAATTAAGTAGGGGCTTGGGGTATAGTTCAGGCCCTGGATTTGGTCTTTAGCACCACAATTTTAAAAGATGAATGAAAAGAAATGCAGAACCTGGATGCCTACTAGATCCCACAGTCCTGGACCCTGAGTTCCACAAAGGGGAATCAGTGAGAGTCAGTCCAAAAAGGCAGGCCAGGTACATGGAACAGGCTGTTAGTTACCTGTGCTAGAGAGGCCAAGCACATCTTGAACAGATGTGATCTTGATTCCTGGTTTATCTGTTTTCTGGCTATGGTTTTTAGTTTCTATGAGCCTTAAGTTTCTCATCTCTAATGACTATAATGATAGTATCAACTGTATAAAGTTGTTTGTAAGTTTCAAGTCACTTTTTTTTTTGGTCCTTCTTGGGGCTTGAACTCAGGTCTTGGGCACTGGCCCTGAACCTCTTTGTGCTCAAGGATAGTGCCCTACCACTTGAACCATGGCACCACTTCCAGCTTTTTTGAGTATTTATTGGAGATGAAAGTCTCATGGGGACTTTTCTGCCTGGTTTGTCTTCAAACCACAATCCTCAGATCTCAACCTCCTGAGTAACTAGGATAACAGGCATGAACCACCAGCACCTGGCTTCAAGCCACTTCTTTCTGTCTGTCTACCTATCTATCTTACTTAGTACCTACCTTTGTATCTACCTACCTACCTACTTACATACATACATACATACCTATCTATGCCAGAGATTAAACCCCAGACCTCGAGCATGTAAGCTTATGTTCTACCTCTGAACAACATTCCTAGCCCCCAAAACTAATTTTTTTTTTCTTTTAGTCTGTCATGACGCTTGAACTCTGGGCTTGGGCACTGTCCCTCAGCACTTCAGCTCAAGACAAGCACTCTACCAATTGAGCCACAGAACCCCTTCCAGTTTTCTAGTGGTCAACTGGAGATAAATGTCTCACAGACTTTCTTTGCATGGGCTGACTTTGAACCACGATCCTCAGATCTCAGCCTCCTGAGTAGCTAGGATTACAGGCCTGAGCCACCAGTGCCCAGAAAAACTAATTTTTTTAAATAGCTATGATTAAAATTGCAAATATCAGTATCACCAGTCCCCACCAACCAACGTGGCAGCAATTTGCTGATTCCCATGTCATGGATGTGGTGACTGACTGAAGCTAGAGTAGTAACCTCACTTTCTAGGTCATACTTCAGGAGTTAGGGCCTCAGGTCTTAGACTGGACTTCAATGTCCATGCTCCTACCTATAGTCCTTTGCCACTTAGTTAAATGAGATGGTGCTAGCCAGGAGCTTGGTGTGATGTAGAACAGAGAATAGGTACCTAGGTGAGAACTGTCATCTCCAGGTATGGACAGATGTGGGCTTCTGGGTATGAACTTCTAAGAAGCTGTCCAAAGAATTCTGTAGGCCTGTGGGCCCAGGACTTGACTTTCTGTGATGTGTGCCTGAAAAGAGAGACATTCAGTACTGGGCACTGGTGTCTCTATGCCTGTAATCCCAGCTATTCAGGAAGCTGAGATCTGAGGATTGAAGTTTGAAGTCCACTTAGGCAGAAAAATGCCCAGGCAGAAAAATTCCCAATACTTTTATCTCCAGTTAACTAGCAAAAAGCCAGAAGTAGAGTTATGGGTAAACTAGTAAACCACCAGCTTTGAGCAAAAAATGCAAATGAGAGTGTAAAGCCCTGAGTTCAAGCCTCAGTACTGACACAGAGAAAGAAAAAGGGAGGGGGAGGAGGGAGAGGGAGAGAACGAGAACATATTGGTCTCTGGGATGCAGGGATGCCTCTCTGGGAATCTGTGCTTTGGCTGTTTTTTCTCAGAAAATGATGGCAAAGAATTAAGCTTCCTACCAAGAGTTGGGGCAGAAGCAGAAGAAACTCAGCCCCTAGCTTGCTTTCCTGCATCTCTTAGCTCCTCCTCCACATTTTTTATTGTCCCTAGATAAGACCTTGTCTGTGGCAATTGAAGGCAGTGTGGATGAAGCCAAGGCTCTATTCAAGTCCTCTGAGGACTCCCAAGGTAACATGGCGGTTGGGTTATCTCCCCAGGACCACCAGGTCACCACCAATGAGCTCCTTAGCTCATTAACTAGACTGCTTCAGTAGACCAGGAAGCCTGACAATCAGGTTAGTGTTTGGAACAGACAGGAGAAAGCTTAGATCCTAAAGTCAGAAAGTGCTTCCTTTGGATTGTAATCCTGCCACCCACAGCTTACTGTAAGAAAGTGGATGGTAATTTTTTGTGTAGATAGCAACCCCTCTGGTTATACAAGTGGACATTACTGTTGTTATTTCTATTACTGTGACCACTGCACCAGCAATGGAGGAGTTTGTTGCCCATAGAAATGAGATCAGAGCCAGATGCTAGTGACTCCACCTGTAATCCTAGCTATCCAGGAGGCTGAGATCTAAGGATTGTGGTTTGAAGCCAGCCCAGGTAAGACAGTCCATGAGACTCTTATCTCCAATTAACCACCAGAAAGCTGGAAGCAGAGCTGTGGCTCAAGTGATAGAGTGCTAGCCTTGAGCAAAGAAAGCTAAGAGAAGAAAGGAAGAAGGGAAAGAAGGAAGGAAATCAAATATATATTTAAAAAACCAACAGTGGTAGAATTATTCAATACCATGTTTTCACTGAGTAAGCATCACCAAAGTAAGTGATTTATTATAAAGACTACAAGTAAAAGCAGGCTAGGCTTCTCTGTCCCTGTGGGTATGGGGCTTCAGGAGCATGTGGAGCCCTCCCTCTCTCTCTCCCTCTAACCACCTTCTCTGTGGCTACAGATGATGAGAGCGACTCAGATGCTGAGGAGGAACAGACCACGGTGAGCACTATTCCAGTGGGGGGCACCGTGCAGCTGTGCCAGGGCCTGCACATTTGTAGGTGCCAATTCCCTAGAAGTGGAAGAGAGGGCTGCACCAAGGGGAGCCTGACTGCCTGAGTAGCTGAGACAGCCAGTGCCAGGCAGCAGTGGGGAGGCCCTGGCCTGAGGGAGCAGGAAGGGGAATGTTCATCTAATGGGTCTGGCCCTCTCCTTTTTCCAGAAACGGCGGCGACCCACACTGGGGGTTCAGCTGGATGACAAGCGCAAGGAGATGCTGAAGAGACACCCGCTGTCTGTCGTGCTTGACCTAAAGTGCAAAGGTCTGTCTGCGCTCCCTCCTATGAGCATCTGGGAGTTTGGCCAGCTGTGGGTACAGCGGGCCTTGCAAGCCAGAGGCATCTTTGCACCCCAGATTGTCTTGGTCTCCTAGTTCTCTAGTTTTTCTTCTTCATTTAATAAAAAATGTTTGATTTTTTTGGGGGGGGGTCGGTCGTGGGGCTTGAACTCTGGGCCTGAGCGCTGTCCCTCAGCTCTTCAGCTCAAGGCTAGCGCTCTACCACTTGAGCTATAGCACCACTTCCAGTTTTCTGGTGGTTTATTGGAGATAAGAGTCTTACCAACTTTCCTGCCCAGGCTGGCTTTGAACCACGATCCTCAGATCTCAGCCTCCTGAGTAGCTAGGATTATAGGTGTGAGCCACTGGCACCTGGCTTTGATTTATTTTTTTAAGCCATAATAACCCTAACAACAAAGCAGCAAAAATCCATATACATAAAGGGAAGTGTAATAAAAGTACACTTCATTCTGAATTTGATATATCAAATCCACAAAGTAAGTTATATGAGTGTGTAGGTTTTGAGCAACTTCTTAATAAATGAGTTTAGAACTCTATTCTGCAGAGGATAGGGTCTTGTGTGGAAAAAGTAGCATATGCTCTTGTACAAGAGTTAACAGTGAAATTTCAACTTCCCTGTTACCAGGTTCTTGGATCCAGTCCTTGGTTTTCCTCCAAGGACAACCATTGTTACAGATTTCTAATGTAGTTTCTGAAACTACTCTTTGCATCTAGAAGCTTTTATTCAAGTGTCTATTTTTCTCCTTCCTTTTAATGGAAATATGCTGTACCCTCTGGTCTCTGTTTTTTTCATCTTAAATTTTTTATCTTGAGGTAATTTTAGACTCACAGAAGTTTAGAACTCAACAGTTCTAAAGATAGTACAGAGTGTTCTCATATATTCTTTTTTCTTTTGTTCCTTTTGTGTGTGTGTGTGGAGCTGAGAATCAAATCCCAGGCCTTACACATGGTAGGCAAGATCTCTACCCTTCTGTTACATCCAGAATCCCCTATTTCTCCTCCTCCACCTCTTCTTCTTCCTCTTCCTCCTCCTCCTCCTCCTCTTCCTCCTTCTTCTCTTCCTCCTTCTCTTCCTCCTCTTCTTCCTTTTCCTCCTCCTCCTTTTTGTGCTGGTTTTGAGGCTTGAACTGAGGACTTGGGCACTGTCCTTGAGCTTCTTCTGATCAAGGCTAGTGCTCTACCACTTGAGCCACAGCTCCACTTCTGGATTATTTGGTAATTTATTGGAGACAAGAGTCTCATGGACTCAACCCTGCCTGGGCTGGTTTCAAACCTGGATCCTCAGATCTCAGCCTCCTGAGTAACTAGGATTACAGGTGTGAGGAGCATCAGGAAAGTCCTTCTATTTCCTCATCTAGCTTCCTCATGTTAATTTCACTGGCCCAAATTTATTACCTAAACTACAGTATTATTCAGAGTTCCCCCATTCTTCTAATGTCTTTTCCTCCTCCTCCTCCTTTTCCCTTTCCCCCCTTCCCCCCATTCTCCTTTCTTGGTACCAGTCCTGGGGTTTGAACTCAGGTCCTAGGTGCTATCATTGAGCTCTTTTTTGCTCAAGTCTAGCACTGTACTACTTGAACCTCAGCTCCACTTCCAGCTTTTTAGTGATTAATTGGAGATAAGAATCTCACAAACTTCCCTGCTGGGACTGGCCTAGAACCATGATCCTCAGATCTCAGCCTCCTGAGCAGCTAGCGTTACAGACATGAGCCACCATATCGTGCAAGGAAAAGTAGCAAAGACTTTGCAGATGCTTCTTTTTTTTCTCCTTCAGTGTTACTGCTGTTGCATTTTTGTATAGTACAAGACATAAAGGCAACTTTGAGTTTCATTTCTTTAGTAGTACTGACTTCTCAAAGATAGGAGTGGCTCACAAGTGACAGTTTTCCTCCTTCCTCTCCAGATGACAGCGTGCTCCACCTGACCTTCTACTATCTTATGAACCTCAACATTGTGACAGTGAAAGCCAAAGTGACAACTGCCACAGAGCTGATCACGCCCATCAGTGCAGGGTATGGGGCAGTTGGGGACATGGGAGGGGCACAGTGGGAGGCTGGGGCTGTTCTGTTCTGCCCTTGGAGAACATCTGCCGCCATGCCCACTGTGTTGCCTTGTCTTCCCAGCCTTGGAGTCTCAGCACATCCCTGGGATTTTGAAAGCCCCCTCTCACTTACACTTGTAAAGCTGTCTTACTATACAACAGATGACAGAGTAAAAACAGTGGGTTGTCAGATTGAGTGGGTAGGGCACAGCCACCAGATTCCAAAGCCACTGGAAAGCTTGTGAATGCAGAGAGGAGACTTGGCAGATAGGACTAAGTTGACAAATTTAGGCCACTCTTGTCTTTTTCTATTCCTAGGTGCTAGTAATGAGTAGTGGTAGGAGGACTGTTGGGCAAACTCTGTGGGGGTGGGGGGGAGGGTTGTTGGTCTGTTGGTTTGTTTTTGTGGAGATTGCACCAGGACCTCCAGTGCAAGACAAGTACTCTACAACTGGAGACCTGCCCGTACCCTTTTGTTCCTTACTTTGTTTTTGAGATAGGCTCTCACTGACTGGACTGGCCTCAAACTTCATGCCTCTATTTCTTGAGTAGCTGAGGTTATAGGCATGTGCCACCGTACCTGGCTTGGAGGTTTTGAGGAAGATAAACATCAGTATAGTAATGATAGTCACAGTCTCTCCCAGAAGGCCCTGAGCAGAGCCGTAATTGTTCTGAAACCAGGGGTAGGAGGAAGCAAGAATAGACAGGGAGTGGGGGTGAACTAACCTCCTCTTAATCGAGTCCCACCCCTCCCCAGGTGTCTGTTGGACTAGTGTTCTTCTTACTCCTTCCCATTCTGCCCAATGGGAAGATGTCTTCTGGTCTTAGACCCTGCATTTCAGGTCCACTGCCACTTGAAGCCTCTACAGCCTGTGCCTGGGAGCTAACCAACTACCCAATGGCATGCTGGATGAAATTGACTGTGTTCCCAGCAGAGGGAGCCCAGGGCTTCTGAGTAGCCCATACATTGCTCAGCTAGAGCTTTCTGTTTATGTTGGGTAAGGTTAGAGCATGTTGTCCTGATCCTTTGCTGCTCATTGCTCAAGTGCCCAACTGGTTGGTCTGTATAATGACTGCTGGCCAGCTTTGTGACATACTGCTCACATGCACTGTAATCACCTCTCCCAGAACACTTGTGAAGAGGCAAGCTTAGCATAGAAGAGGTAAGTGACAGTTGGTTTATCATCCGCCATGTTTGTTTGATTTTTTTGCCAGTCCTGGGGCTTGAACTCAGAGTCTGCACACTATCCCTGAGCTTGTTTTTGTTCAAGGATAGCATCTACCACTTAAGCCACAGTGCCACTTCTGGCTTTTTCTGTTTATGTGTTTGGAGGAATTGAACCCAGGTCTTCATGTATGCTAGGCAAGCACTCTACCACTAAGCCACTTTGCCAGCCCTCGTGCTTTATTTTATTTATTTATTTTTATTTTTGGCACTGGGAATGAAGCCCAGGACCTTGTGTGTGCTAGGCAGGGGCTCTACCACTCCTTGCCTTTCAGTGTAATTTTTTTTCCCAACTACTTGAGCCATATCTCCACTTCTAGGATTTTGGTATTTTGTTGTAGGTAAGAGTCTTATAGACTTTCTTGCCCATGCTGTTTTCAAACCACAATCCTCAGCTCTGTCTCCAGAGTGCCCAGCCTATTTTATTTTGGTTAATTCGGTAGGCAAAGACACTGAATAAAAAGCTGGTAATCTGTGTTTTCACTGCCTCTCCAGTTCGTGAGAGGCAGTGAAGTGGGCAGAGCCCCGTGGGTTCAAGGAGTCTCAGTGAGACAGAACAGGGAGAAGCCACAGCTGCTATTGTCCTTGTGTCAAGTTCCTGAAGGCATGCTGAGACGAGAGTGCTCTGTGACTTAGAGCAAATGCTTCAGATGCCATCCTTGGAGAACCTCTAATAACAAAATTACCGCACTAACTCCTACCCCATCTCATCTCTGTCACATTTAATCATAAGCTATGTAATTGCCATCCTATATGGCTGTAATGGCCATCCTCTATATCTTCTCATAGCCCTGGGCCACCTTGTCTCCAGTGCATGTGATAATATCTCTTTCTGAGCATTTGAAGAGGGCCTTTTTGTTATCAGGAGATGTGGTCAAAGTAAGATAGAGCACCAAAGCTTCCCCCATGTTCTCTCTGGATGGAAGGAGGCTGGGGGAAGGAAAGGCAGTGGGGGAATGGGTAACAGGTACCAAAATACAAAGGAGGAATCAGAACTGATGTTCTAGGGCACAGGAGGATGACTGAGATTCACAACAGTTTATTATATTTTATGTGTAGAACCATAGGAGTCCAAAGTTTCCCCATACAAAGAAATGAGAAATGGTTAAGGAGATAGAAATGCTCAGTATATGGGCTGGGAATGTGGCTCAGTGGTAGAGTGCTTGGCCTAGCATGCATGAAGCCCTGGGTTCTATTCCTCAGTACCACATAAACACAAAAAGCTGGAAGTGGTGCTGTGGCTCAAGTGGTAGCCTTGAAGAAGAGAAGCTCAGGGACAGTGCCCAGACTCTGAGTTCAAGCCCTAGGACTGGCCAAAAAAAAAGCTTAGTACAGGGCTGGGAAGGTAGCTCAACGGTAGAGTGCTTGCCTTGCATGTGTGAGGCCCTGGGTTCGATTCCTCAGCACCACATAAACAGAAAAAAAAAGCTGGAAGTGGTGCTGTGGCACAAGTGGTAGAGCGCTATCCTTGAGCTGAAGAGCTGAGGGACAGCGCCCAGGCCCAGAGGTCAAGCACCATGACCAAAAAAAAAAAAATGCTCAGCACAGTACCTGGTTAGATTAGTTATTTCTGGCACTGTTTCTATTTGCTTATGTCATGATACTTTTCTCCTACAAAGTAACCCATGGGTTTTTGGGAGCTGGTGAAACTAAGGGGTTTCAGGGTAGCCTATTAGCAGCTGGACCTGCTCTTGAGCACAAAAAGAGCATTCTAAGCACACAGCAGTTCCAGCCTACAAGAAGCATCCATAAAGGATGATATCACTCATCAGTATGGGGTGACATTGCTACCCTCCGATATCCACCTTGAGACATGAGCTTGGCAGGTATTCTCATTGCAGTCTCTTCTCTCTGTCAGGGATTTGCTGTCGCCTGACTTGGTGCTGAGCTGTTTGTATCCTGGGGATCATGGAAAGAAAACTCCAAATCCAGCCAATCAGTATCAGTTTGATAAAGTTGGGTGAGTCAGCAGCCTCTGTTTCTTAGTATTTCTGGGGGGCCAGAAGCTAGGGGCCAGAGGCAGGAAGACCCTGGGGCTGGAAGTCACACATGACCTTTCTTGCTCAGAAGGCAAAGGGATGACGTGAAAGGGGGAGGAATCAGAGCTTAACATGAACATGGGATAAGTCCTGGAGAGCTGGCTCGATGGGGGTAGCCCTGTCTTCAGTCCTCAGAACTAAGAAAAAAAATTTTTTTAAAAAGGAGGAGAAACATGTGATACAATACAAATATATAGCATTTAATTCCCTGAAGATGAATTTTTGAGGGTTTGTTTCTATTTTGAGGCAGGGTATGTATCTCAGGCCAGCTTTGAACTCATCATTCTCCTGCCTCTGCCTCCAGATTGCTGCGATTACAGGTGTACAATACCACATCTGAGTCACTCTTTCCTTCTTTCTTTCTTTCTTTTTTCTTTTTTTTTTTTGCTGCTAGTACTAGGCATTGTCCCTGAGCTTTTTCACTGAAGGTTAGCACTCTACCACTTGAGCCATAGCTCCACTTCCTTTACTAAAATTGCTTAAAAAGTATAAGTGTTTTATAACATTTTTTAGTTGAGGTTTGTATGTGAGTTAAAGATTGCCAGGGGAAAAGAAAGGAATGAATATGGGAGATTCCAGTGGGAGCTCATGAAGTGGAGGGGCTTCTCAGGAAGCCTGGCTATCAGCAAGCCACACCGGTGGGACTGGCGATCTGCACAGGATGGGAGGAGGGCTATATCTGGAAACCAAAACAAAAATGATTCATCAAATCACTTTTGTCTTTTCACAGCATCCTGACTTTAAGAGACTATGTACTTGACTTAGGTCACCCCTATTTGTGGGTACAGAAGCTTGGTGGCCTCCACTTCCCTAAAGAGCAGCCCCAGGTTTGTACTAACCCTGTCTCCTTGGTTGAGTGGCTCCTCCTTCTCCTGAATTAGATTCCAGAATGGTCTCTGGTCGAGGCCTTGATCTAGCAGAATGCCTGCCCTTGGGACTGTGCCCTGTCTTCCATCTGTCTACACAGGACACTGAACTATACTCAGCCTATGTGTTTTTCTTTCCCCCTGAATGTAGTAGTCTCCCAGACGAAGGTAATTTGGTCATTGCTATAGTGCTACACTCTTCCATGAGCTCTGCTTCCCTCTGTCCTTTGTGTGAGGATGCCAAAAATGAGGCCACTGGCAGAATCTGGCAGGGCAGGTACTTTAGCAAAAGCCTGCCTTTTCTCTTGAGAACCTAGTAGTTTGACTCAGTAGCTTATCTATTGTAGTGGATAAATCCTGCCATTCCTAAATTGCACCTATCTTGGGGTGTGAGTGGTCCAGGTGGTACAGGCTGGCAAAGGAGAGGAGAAAGAAGGTACTAGAGGAAGGGAAGTAAGGGCAAGCTCTCAGGTGTGTCTCTCTTCCTGTCATTTGCAGCATACGGTGATCGCTGACCACTGGCAGAGCGCCAGCCACATGGAGACCACCATGAAACTGCTGAAGACCAGAGTGCAGTCCCGCCTGGCCCTCCACAAGCAATTTGCATCCCTGGGTAAGCTAGTAGTTATACAGCAAGGGACAAAAGCAACGGCCTTGTACTCAGGACTCTTTAATCAAAAAGCCTGGGATTCCTGGCTTTACTGACCAGGGGAGTTGGCAGTGTCACTGGGAAGAGCTATGGGCCCATGCGGGCAGAGGTCTGAGCTCCCCGTAGAGCCATCAGGACTGTCCTCTCCTCCCAGAGAGGCCCCACAGCCTTGGGTGCCACAGGTTCACTGACTGGGCAGCTCATTGTAGATTTGATGTCTACCCAACAAGAATTTAGCCTCATTCGTGCCAGGCCCCTAGCACAGCATGGGGGAAAGAGCAGTGGGATGGGATTGCACATTCAGCCCCAGGAATAGTGCTATATAAGGATCTATTTCCTCATCCCTCTCCTAAGAGCTACAGAGGTAAAGTTCTTGGTAGCTGAGCCTTTTTCACTCCTTTGCACCTAGGATTGTGATGAGTCACTAGCCTAGGTGGTAGATATATGAGGCTCCTTTTAGTTTATCATGTGCAAGGTACTTGCAGGGTGGGGATAGGTATGTGAGGGGTGTCAGGTCTCTCTGAGTCCCTCTCATGAAAGGTTTCCAGGACCCATCTGGAGACCCTCGACCTGCACATGGACATTGGTCTCTCTGGGGCAACCTTGCTTGTCTGTCAGGCCTTGCACCTAATACCATTACTGAAATTTGTTCTGTCCCAAGATTGGAGGATTGTCATCTAGGAGAGCTGACTGTGTCGGCATGTTTGTTTATTTAAATGCCAGCAGAAATTGACCCTAGAGCAGTTCTCCTCTTCTTCCCTAGAGGAACTGACACAGAACACCGGTCAGTTCCGTAGTCAAGGTCAGCTATGCCAACTCAGCTCAGCTATTTGATCTAATTAACAGTCCCTGCCCCAGAGGCACTGGCACTGGTTCTGGCTGCAGGGCTTATGTTTTGCTGCCTGTCATTTGCTTTAAGGATAAAGTACCATAAATGCTGGTGCTCTGTCTGGCCATAGACACATAGCTCTGGATGTAGATCAGGTTATTGCCTGTTTTCCTGGCATGTGTTGACCTGGCTATGTCTTGACTGCTAGGTGTTCCTGGACAGATGGCAGGGCCACCGTAGCCCCTCCAGAAAGCCCCAGGCAGATGCTCATTGCACAGCTGTGGCACTTGATTGCTACCTGTGACACCACCTGTTTGGCTCTCTTTTAGAACACGGCATTGTGCCTGTTACCAGCGATTGCCAGTACCTCTTTCCTGCCAAGGTTGTCTCTCGTCTAGTTAAGTGGATGACGATGGCCCATGAGGATTACACGGTAGGTAGAAGAATGACAGACTACCTTGCTGTCCGGAGGACCACATCACCTATCTGCTTCTTTCACCCACCCAACCAAAAGCACCAGGATTTGACTAGAGAAGTCTGTATCTTACTCTTCATCTACGTGCCTGTTCTAGGAGCTGCATTTTACCAAGAACATTGTGGAGGCAGGCCTGGCTGGGGACACCAATCTCTACTACATGGCACTTATTGAGAGGGGCACAGGTAGGTCATTTCTGCGCTGGTCACAGTGATCCTATTCAACAGGAACCACCAAAAATCACACATCAGGGTTTCCTAGAGAAAGTAAAAGGTCCCAGAGTCCTGCTGCAGGGACTTAGCACACTACAGTGGTGGGAGCCACTGAACATCAAGGACTTGAACAATCACACATTTAATCCTCAGCAGTCTTAGGGATAGGGGTACCATTCCATTTTTATACCTGAGGAAATTCTGCCTTAATCACAGACCTGGGCTGAGTTTGCTTTATTACTGTCAAACATTAGACCTCTCTTCCTCCTCCTCACTGAAGGCTGGGGTGTTCTCTCAGACTATAAAAGACAGGGTTGCGCCGGGCGCTGGTGGCTCACGCCTGTAATCCTAGCTGCTCAGGAGGCTGAGATCTGAGGATCGCGGTTCAAAGCTAGCCCGGGCAAGAGAGACCATGAGACTCCTATCTCCAATACACCTCCAGAAAACCGGAAGTGGCGCTGTAGCTCAAGTGGTAGAGCGCTCGCCTTGAGCTAAAGAGCTCAGGGACAGCGCCCAAGCCCAGAGTTCAAGCCCCACAACCGACCAAAAAAAAAAAAGACAGGGTTGCAGGACCTGCCTCCTTAGTCCTGGCACTTCATTTCCTTAAGAGAAATCAGAAGCGGTTGATTCGTCCAAGCTCCTCTGGAATCCAACTCTGCCAGGGCTCCTACTGAAGCCTCCTGGATGCTATGCCTGAGCTGTTATGCTGGTATCCTACTCTAGCCTCAGCAAGCCTGGCCCTGCCTTCTAAGAACTTAACACACAGCCCCATCCCCAGGCTTGCTATTATGGCCACTGAACCAAGGAGGTTATCCATGTTTCTGTATTAGTCCATTTCTAGTACTATAGCACAATTCCTGAGGGTTCCTTATAAGGAAGACTTCATTTAGCCTGAACTGTAGGAGGTTGAAAGTTCTTGGAAGTAGCCTGATCCGTCTCTGTGAGTCTTTCCCGGCAGATGATATCACAATAGCAGGAATGTGTGTGGACGAGATCAGATGGTGAGACAGGAAGCCAGAGAGAGTCAGGAGCAGGCTTGCTAGTATTTTTCTGTTTTGTTTTGTTGTTTTTTTGGTCATGTGGCCTGAACTCTGGGCCTCTGTGCTGTCCCTCAGCTCTTCAGCTCAAGGCTAGCACTCTATCACTTCCGGCCACTTCCAGCTGGTGCTGAGGAATTGAACCCAGGGCCTCATGCATACAAGGCAAGCATTCTACCACTAAGCCACCTTCCCAGCCCCACCAGGCTTGCTAGTGTTATAACAAGTTTCTCTTGTGGCAAATAACCAGAGTCCCTTCAAAGGATAGTGACATTGTCTCCCCTAAGACCTATCTATCTCTCTCCAAATCTCACCTCTAAAAGGGTCTATAACATGAGGGTCTAAGTTTCCAGCACATGAACTTTTGGGGGAAGGGGCCTCAAACCATGTCCAAACCACAAGTTCTAGAGAATCTGTTGAAATAGGCAAAGGCTATTACCATAATCAAAAACCAAATATGAACACAGCTCTGCCATCAGGTAAACTCAGATGGCTGCTTTGTAGCTGTCCAATGGGGAAATTCTGTCTCTTCAAAATTGGTGTGAGGATAATTGTACTCATATCAGAATCATTATGATCAGGGCTGGGAAGGTGGCTCAGTGGTAGAGAAAAAAGCTGGAAGTGGCGCTGTGGCTCAAGTGGTAGAGCGCTAGCTTTGAGCTGAGGGACAGCACCCAGGCCCAGAGTTCAGGCCCCACGACTGGACCCAAAAAAAAAAAAAAAAAGAATCATGATCAAACACAGTGCCTAGAATGCAGAAAAACTCAATAAATGTTAGTTTTTTTTTAGAAGGATTTCACAAAACAAAATATATTAAAATTAAAGAAATTAGAGAAAACATATCTGATGTAACTAATACACTGATGTTATAATAATATTGAAAAGAGGAAAACAGGAAGCATGTTTGACATTAAAAAAAAAAATTCTTAGCCTAGTGGCAAACAAATAACAAGCTGGGCATCGTGGTATAGGCCTTTAAACCTAGCATTCAGGGAGCTGAGGCAGCAGGACCAAGAGCTTTAAGGCCAGCCTCGGCTATATAACAAGACACTATCCCCAAAATTCCTTTTAAAAAATAGGTAGGGCACGGTGGCTTGTATCTATAATTTCAGCTACTCAGTTCAAGGACAGCCCTGGCAAAAAAAAGTTAGTGAGGCCCTCCCCCATCTCAACCAATGAAGCCAAGTATGGTCATCCCAGCTCTGTGGGAAGTATAAATAGGATCAAGGTCCAACCCAGCTTTGGCAAAAATGTGAGACCCTATTTGAAAAATGAAGCAAAAAGGCCTGGAAAACAGTTTTATTTGTAGAGCAAGTACTAGAAAAGTAAAAATAAAAAATCTTCAAAAAGTCAGGTGCTGGTGGCTTACACCTATAATCCTAGCTATTCAGGAGGCTGAGAACTGAGGATCATGGTTCAAAGCCATCCCAGGCAGGAAAGTCCATGAGAAGTAGATCTGTGGCTCAAGTGGTAGAGTGCTAATCTTGAACAAAAGAAGTTTAGGGACCTGGTACCAGTGACTCACACCTGTAATCCTAGCTACTCAGGAGGCTGAGCTCTGAGGATCACTGTTCAAAGCCAACCTGGGCAGAAAAGATCAAAAAAGCTGGAAGTGGGTCTGTGGCTCAAGTGATAGAACACTAGCCTTGAGCAAAAAGCCTCAGGGTCAGCGCCCAGTCCCCAAGTTAAAGCCCTAAGACTAGCACCAAAGAAAAAATAGAAATGACAAACTTCTTTCAAGGTTTGAAATTGAAATTGTGGGCAAACCTAAGATGGACTGGATATAGGGAAGCTAGCAAGGAGAACTGGCAAATAGAACGTGGCAAGCTGGATAACTGTCTTTCCTTTTTTTCCTCTGCTCAGCCAAACTCCAGGCCGCTGTGGTGCTGAACCCGGGATACTCCTCCATCCCACCCATTTTCCAGCTCTGTCTGAACTGGAAAGGAGAGAAGACTAACAGCAACGATGACAACATCCGGGTAAGGTACACGGAGGGGTGATGGGTGCAGAGAGCCACCCAGAGAGGTGGGCATTACTGCAGCTGAGGGCGTGGACATGGCAGCAGTTCCCAGCCAGGACTTTGGGAAGTGCTGCCTGTGTTGTATAGTGGAGGAAAGGCCTGGACCCATGTCACCCACTTGCCTACTTCAGGGGCCACAGCCATCCTTAGTTATAATACAGGAAACTGTGGTCATGGACTTCTGGGAGAACATGAATTAACTCAGAAGCGTTTACTGAATGCAGGGATGGGATGACGGTGAGGTCCCTGCATGGTTATTTGCAATCTAAGACTTCATAACAGCCTTATGGCCATGAGAAGTTTTGTTTTTTTTTTTTTTTTTTGGTCATGGGGCTTGAACTCTGGGCCTGGGCACTGTCCCTCAGCTCTTCAGCTCAAGGAGAGCGCTCTACCACTTGAGCCACAGCGCCACTTCCCACTTGAGCTACAGCCCACTTTCAGTTTTCTGAGTGTTTATTGGAGATAAGAGTTTCTCAGACTTTTCCTGCCTGGGCTGGATTTGAACCGAGATCCTCAGATCTCAGCCTCCTGAGTAGCTAGGATTACAGGCATGAGCCACTGATGCACAGCTTGGATTTTTCTGAGTAGTTTATTGGAGATGAGTCTCATGGCCTTTCCTGCCCAGGCTGGATTCGAACCACAATCCTCAGATCTTAGCCTCCTGAGTAGCTAGTATTATAGGCATGGGCCACCAGTGCCTTGCTTCCTAAGCTCTTTTGTTCGAGGCCAGTGCTCTGCCACTTTGAGCCACAGCTTCACTTCTGGTTTTTGGATGGTTAATTAGAGATAAGAATCTCACAGACTTCACTGCATAGGCTGACTTTGAACTTCCATCCTCAGATCTCAGCCTTCTGAGTAGATATGATTATAGGTGTGAGCCACCAGCACCTGGCTTGATAAGCACATGTTTGACCCTAGTGCCTCCTGATTTAGGTCCTGTATTGAGATCCATTCTTTACATACTTATCTTCCGGGCTGTGGGCATTTGAAGCAGGGAAAGTTATGGTGAGAATCAGGAAGACCCCGTCCTTTTAAGGAAAGACTTTTAGATGATCAAGTCAGTCTGGCTTCATCACAGGCCCAATTCCTATTAGGCTCTAGTGCAGTTCTTGTGGCTTCAGGGCCAACTAGTGACAGAGGCCCAGCCAGTGTGGCTAGCCATGGAGATAAGGAGTGCTGAAGGCACTGGCTTTCCCACTGTACAGGCCATGGAGAGCGAGGTCAACGTGTGTTACAAGGAGCTGTGTGGCCCCCGGCCTAGCCACCAGCTCTTGACCAACCAGCTGCAGCGGCTGTGTGTGCTACTGGATGTCTACCTGGAGACTGAGAGCCACGATGACAGTGTGGAGGGACCCAAGGAATTTCCCCAGGAGAAGATGTGTCTACGGCTCTTCAGGTAGGACAAGTGAAGGGATTCTGGTGATACTCTGGAAAGACTTGAAGTGGAGTTGTGGCTCAAGTGGTAGAGCACTAGCCTTAAGCACAAGAGCTCAGGGACAGTGCTCAGGCCCTGAGTTCAAGCCCCAGGATGGGTGTGCGCGCACACACACATGCACACACACAAAATGTATATAAAGCTCTGGGGTGATTGCTGGCACAAGTCAGGGAACCAGAATATGCCCACAGGTGCTGACGACTGGATTTAGAATAACTAGGCTCACAGCACCTCTGGCTGCTTTTCCTCTCTTTGGTCTTAGGTCCTTTCTTTTCCTTTTACCTCAACTCCCCCCAACACTCCCCTGGTTCCAGCCCTTCCCACTGGCCTGGTTCATCATATTTCCCAATATCCAGCTGGCTGCAGGCCGCTGCTGCTCTCCCCTGTGGGTCTGTGTGAGACCTCAGCCCACTGTAGCATGTTTCCAGGGTGAGATTCTTTGCACAGCCTCTGATCATTTTCTCTTCACAAATGGTTCCGAGGCCGTCAGCACTCTGGGAAGATGCTTCTTTGGTGACTCACATGCAATCATTGCCTCAGCTGGGTGGATGGGTGGTTCCTCACCAGCTGACCCACAGGGTGAGGCAAAAGTGACCTGAGGCACAGCTCAGTCCCTGTGGAAGATTGTTGAGCGGAGGCTCCCCATCAGCACTGTTCCTACCTGTTTCCAGGGGACTCTGCTTTCTTGGCGTCATGAGGTCATAGATATGAGTCAGGGCTTTAGGCCCAGAAAGAGAACTCAACAGGTTCAGATTCTTTCCTGTAAGCTGGGCGCTGGCGGCTCACACCTGTAATCCTAACTACTCAGGAGGCTGAGATCTGAGGATCAAGGTTCAAAGCCAGAAACAGGCAGCAAAGTCTATGAGACTCTTATCTCCAATTAACTACCAGAAAACTGGAAGTGGTTCTGTGGCTCAAGTGGTAGAACTCTCACCTTGAACTGAAGAGCTCAGGGACAGTGCCCAGGCCCAGAGTTTAAGCTCCAGGACCAACAACAACAACAACAAAAATCCTGTCTGTGTAATAAGGGTCTCCACTGTAACCTCTGTAAAACCCCACCTATCACAGGTGTTCCTGGGAGGATGGAATTAGGTGAGATAGAAATGGCTGGTGTAGAGACTGGGAAGGTGGCTCAATGGTAGAGTGCTTGCCTTCCATGCATGAGGCCCTGGGTTCGATTCCTCAGCACCACATAAGCAACAAGAAAAAAAGCCAGAAGTGGCGCTGTGGCTCAAGTGGTAGAGCACTAGCCTTGAGCTGAAGAGCTGAGGGAAATTGCCCAGGCCCAGAGTTCAGGCCCCACGACTGGACCCCCCAAAAAAAGAAATGGCTGGTGTAAAGTGCCTAGCACAGTGCAGGTAGAGAAGCCCTCAGCCACTGGTGGGCAATCCAAACCTTCCCTCTCCCCATTTTACAATTCCCCCCAAGCCCCAGACACACACATACCACCCTTTACTAAAAACCATATATTAACTTTGTTACCATTAAATGTATATCATACAGAGAAATGGGGAAGGAGCACACACACACTTTTCACTCTTTTTTTTTTGCTAGCCATCTGTTCCGTGTGCTGTGTGTTCTATGAGGTTTTGCTTATACCTGAGTGCCACAGGTTCAGACCTTCAGACTCAGGTCTTCCCCAGCCTGGCCATGAGTCAACCTTCCTATGGCACAAGGGCTTGGTATCAGACCAAATTTCAAATTTGCCACTGTTCTTTCCTGGTCATACAGTGTTGGTCAGAAACCTCACGATCCTGGGTTATATCTTCCCCAGTAAAGTGGATACTAAGATAGAAATGGCACTGAGAGGTAAAGTGTAAACCCACAGCTCTTGGAAGATGGTGAGGTTCTGGTCAGGCCCAGGCTACTGCCTCCTTCAAAGTGAACTTGAAAGAATTTTTTTTGCCAGGCTTACAGCTGTAATCTAGCTACTAAGGAGGCTGAGATCTGAGGATTGCAGTTCAAAAGTAGCCTGGGCAGGAAAATCCATGAAACTCTTATCTCCATTTAACTACCAAAAAGCAGAACTAGAGCTGTGGCTCAAGTGGTAGAGCACCAACATTGAGCAAAAAACCTAAGGGACAGCACCCAGGCCCTGAATTCAAGCCCAAGTACTAGCACAGAGAGAGAAAGAGAAGGAGAGAGAGTATTTTTCCTTTATACTTTTAAAATGACAAAGTGATGTTAAATATGTGAACAGTAATCTAAAAGATCCTATCTAAAACTTGCCCTGACCCCCAAATGTCCACTGCAGTGAGGCCCTTCCAGGTTTGTGTTCACACATTTACAAACACATAGAGATATTTTTACAGAAATACTGTCACACCTTCCTGTACCATGGTCTGATTTTCTCACAGTTGTCCTGAACTCTGCCTTTTTTTCTCCTAACAACTACATACTATTCCCTGTGTGAATGAGCTGTAATTTATTTTATGGTTTGGAAGGTACGGTATCAGCTGCTAACTCTCTTCTTGTTTCTCTAGGGGTCCAAGCAGGATGAAGCCGTTTAAATATAACCATCCTCAGGGATTCTTCAGCCATCGTTGACCTCCTATCCAGCCTGTTCTCCCTCAACATCCTGCCCTGAGTCCTGGGCCTCTGCTCTCTTCTCTGGCCGTGTGTGATCCTGGAGATTCTCCAAAAACACTAGCTAATTAAACTGGCACCAAATGGCCTTTGTCTGAGGCAGTTTTATAATCTGGAAGGGCACATGGGAGCCAGGGTGAAAGAACATTTGTGGGTAGGCTTTTTAAAGGTGTCCCAAAAAAGCAAAATGCAAAGGAATTTGGATTCTGCAGAGACATGCCACCCACTTTTCCACATATGCCTTGCTTTTACTTTGGTGGGGTAGGGTGAGGGGGTCCCATTATCTTGGTATTTCTTCTCCTAAGTCACTGCTAGTAGGAGGTTGCAGGAAAAAATCAGTCAGCAGAGCCAAAAAACTTCTATATCCTTCCACCTATCCAGTTATTGTCTCTAATGGCCAGAGTTTCTGATCATTGGATGGTTTTATGGTAGTAGTGGTTGTGTTTTGCTTTTGATGAACTGAAGTCCTTGTGTTGGCTAAGCAGGTGATCTACTCAAACCATACCTCTAGTATCCATGTTTTAAAAGCCTGTCTGTGGGCTGGGAAAGTGGCTTAGTGGTAGAGTGCTTGCCTAGCATGCATGAAGCCCCAGGCTCAATTCCTCAGTACCACATAAACAGAAAAGGCTGGAAGTGGCGCTGTGGCTCAAGTGGTAGAGCGCTAGCCTTGAGCAAAAGCACAGGGACAGTGCCCAAGCTCTGAGTTCAAGCCCCAGGACTGGCCAAAAAAAAAATGTAAATAAAAGACAAATACATCATGAAAATCATTTTAAATCTTGTCATTTCATGGTCAATGAGAGCAGTGTTCGAGAATTCCATGCAGAACTTCTGGCCATGAATAATAACAACAGTGCCATAGCTTGAGAGGGAGAACGTGCGATGTTTTGAGGACAGGCTTCCAGATAAAGGCAAAGTGCCTCAAAAAAAAAAATGGTTTTAAGCCAGGCACTGATAGCTCACCCCTGTAATCCTAGCTACTCAGGAGGCTGAGATCTGAGGATTGCGGTTCAAAGCCAGGCCAGGCAGGAAAGTTCATGAGAATCTTATCTCCAATAAATCATCAGAAAACTAGAAGTGGTGCTGTGGCTCAAGTGGTAGAGTACTCGCCTTGAGCTGAAGAGCTCAGGAGCAGCACCCAGGCCCAGAGTTCAAGCCCCATGACTGACAAAAAAAACAAAAACAAAAAAACAATTTATGGGCTATAAGGGATCATAATATTCATTGCTGGGCGCCGGTGGCTCATTCCTGTAATCCTAGCTGCTAAGGAGGCTGAGATCTGAGGATCACAGTTCAAAGCCAGCCCAGGTAGGAAAGTCTGTGACTCTAATAAACCACCAGAAACACGTGCCTTGAGCTGTAGAGCTCAGGAACAGCACCCAGGCCCAGACTACAAGCCCCATGACCAATGAAAAAAAAAAGAGTTTGAAGCTGGACACTAGTGGCTCATGTCTATAATTCTAGCCATTCAAGAGGCTGAAATCTGAGAATCCCAGACAAAGCCAAGAGGCTTCCCTCATCCACCTCTCAAGTTTAGTTAACCAGCAAAAATCCAGCATGGCCCAAGTGATAGAGCCCCAGCCATGAGCAAGAGCCCCAGTACTGAAAATAATAATAGTGATGATGATTATTTGAATGAAGGAATATTTAGAAAAATTCTGAAGGAAATATTTGCAAAATTATCTGGGAGTGTAACAGTGGTAGAGTGCTTTCCTAAAGCCCAACACTGGAAAAAAAAAAGTTATCTTTGTAATCCTACAACACAGGTTAGTAAATGGTGACAGTATTTTGGGACACTTGTCAGAAAAATTATAGTCCATCATTATTCAATTCAGTATTCCATTTAAGAAAGGCACACAGGAGTAGAGGGAAGAAGGGTGAACAAATGCAGTCATTGTGTATAATACATGTGGTAAAAATTGCAGTATGCAACTTGTGGGCAGGGACAGGATGGGGAAATGAGGGAAAGTGAAGGAAGGATAACAGTGTCCGAGAAGCATTTTATTCATTTTACTTGATTTACCAAATTGTAACCCCTCTGTACAACTCCTTAATGACAATCAAAAACAAAAAATAAGAAGTGGTGCTGTGGCTCAAGTGATAGAGTGCTAGCCTTGAGCTTAAGAGCTGAGGGACAGTACCCAGGCCCAGAGTTCAAGCCCCATGACCGAAAGAAATAAGAAATAGTGCTAGGAGTGTAGGTCAGTGGTATAGTGTGTGCTTAGCATATGTGAGGCCCTAGTTTCATTCCCCAGGACCAAATGAAAGAAGAAAAATAAGATACAAATATAGGGATCAAGAATGGTGTTTCGCACCTGTAATTCTAGAGGCAGAGGCAGGAAGACTGTTGAGTTCAAGACCAACCTAGGATACATGTAACACCATGTATCAAAACCAAACAAGTCAGCCACTGGTGGCTCACACCTGTAATCCTAGCTACTCAGGCTGAGATCTGAGGATGGAAGTTCAAAGCCAGCCCTGGCAGGAAAGTCCGTGAGACTCTTAATCTCCAATGAACCACGAGAAAACAAAGTGGTGCAGTGGCTCAAATTGGTAGAACTCAGAGACAACACCCAGGTGCTGAATTTAAGCCCTATGACAGAAAAAAAAGGAAAAACAATGTATTGCAAGTAAAATCGAATTGGCTACCTCTCAAGACTAAAAGAATTTTACCTTTCATGAAAGTCTAGACATTTTTCTCTTCACCATGCAGAAGTTTGTTTTGTCTCTTCTGTAATTATATTTATTCCAAGTGGACAATTACTGATTACCCTTGAATAGAGTGTACCTCTGGGATTAAGAAAATAAAGAGCTCCAGCCTACCCTTGAGCTGATCACCCAGCATCCCCTGGGTAAGGGTTTTCTGAAGGTGAGCTGGCAAGCTCCTAGCCCTGATCTGAGTCCAGTGCAAGAAGGTAATGGTATCTTAGCTGGTCATTAAATGTGACCATCGGAGGGTCTCTGTCCCAGCATGTGTCATGTCTTCAAATATCAGAGGTGGGTGTTACACAGCTCAGAGATCCTTGATCTGCACATATCACTCACCCTGGCTGGTCTGGGACTTGCTGGCTTTGAACTCGTGGTCCTTCTGCTTTTGACTCTGAAGTGCCAAGGTTTACATAACACCACTATGACAGTAAGTGCTTTGGATTGATGGATTGATTTTTTTTTGGCAGTCCTGGGGTTTTGAACTAAGAACCTTGCATTTGCTACTCAGGTGCTCTACCACTTGAGTCACACCCTCAGCCAGGAAGGGTATTTTTACAAGCTCCTTGGGTGTAGTTGGCCCTATCTCTTTTTGAAAGGTGCTGTTCTTCCCTTCCCCATTTTTCCTAGTGACTCCAGTAATGAGGAGGGCTGGACCGAAGAGCTCCCTGCTTCCATCTCCTTGCCTTGTGGCTTTTTCTGCAGCCCAGGCTTCCAGACACTTTGCCTGTGGAGTAAGATCTTGTTTTTTTCCTGACCTACTTGCCTGGGGCTTTGTCCCTGCTGGCATCTCCTTGGTGTGGCCACCTTCAGGCCTTGTGTCTTACTGCCTGTGCTGAATCAGATTAAAACTGGGCCTAAAAATAGTTTAAGGGCCCTGCATTGCAGCCTCTGTTCCTGGTCTTGGCTGGAAGGCAGCCAAACTGACTCAGCACAAAAGCTCAGCTCCAGAAGGGTGCTCAGACCCATCCGCAAATGTCTGAGAGGAGCCCTGCTACCCTGCTTCTTAGGCAGGGGATGTTACACTTGCCATTCTCCAGAACACATTTTCCCTTTTCAAATAGCGGGCTGCACAAAGGAATCCTTTGGGCTCAAGGAGGAAGGTATTAAAACAAAAGAGAAACCAGGACAATCGAGGCCCTTTCAGCTGCTTGTTCGGGCTGCTTGTTCATTCCAAGGATGGACAGATCAGGGGAAAACAGGCCCATCTTGTGAGGACCCAGAACAATTCCTTGGGAGATTCTTGCAGTTTTTCACTGGGCCATGTATAAGACCAACCCCTCTCTTTTATCACCTTGCCCTTGGAAGATAGTTTCCTGCCTTTTTATTTATTCATTGCCATGTTAGGGATCAATGCTTATTCAACGCTTGCTAGGCAATTGTTCTGTCTACCACTAAGTGACACCCCAGCCTGTCCTTGCTTTTTCTTTTTTTTTTTTGTCAGTCATGGGGCCTGAACTCTGGGCCTGGGCGCTGTCCCTCAGCTCTTCAGCTCAAGGCTAGCACTCTACCACT